AAGAAAAATGACAGGTTATGAATAACACCATAACAACAGAAAATACATTTCATAAAAAAAAATTAAGCATATATAAAGAAGTAACATTATTTAAAATTTCCCATTGTGCATTGAATAGCATAGCTACATCTCTGACCAGGACAAAATCTTTCTCACTTTGTTTCTAGCCATTTAAACACTGAGCACAAATGTTTTCGGCCTCCTTAATTAATTAATAGGCCTTCTTCAGGTACACTGTGGTCTGTTAGAATGTCTGTTGGTAGATATTCAAACGGTGTCACTGTTTACATAGTTTTCGTCTTACCAGTGACATCATTGTTGTTGATAAGGTTTAGACCAGGGGTGTCCGGCACGCGGGCCGCATGTGGCCCAATAAACGTGTAAACAAAACCGACAAATGTTTTAATTTTTTATTATTTATTTATTTCAACGGCATAAACTCAAAAAAAAAAGTTTCACAAAGCCGTAAACCTTTATTCGTATTTTATTTTTGAGTGGAAAGAAAATATTTTCAAATACTGTACTTGGAGATGTATGAATGTGGAAGGATTACTAAATAAAGCTGGAGTTGTGACTCAAAGGATTATAGACCCAAATTTGGGAAAAGGAGGGAAAGATGAGAAAGAACCAAAGATGTAGTAGTGAGAAAGGTTAAATGGATTTTCTGTTCAGCAAATATGGACCCGTAATTTTTCAACCTTTTATACTTCTTTATCTTTTGTCCTTTCTCTTTTTCCCACACTTCGGTCTACAATCCTTTGATTCACAACTCCAGCTTTATTTAGTATTTCTTCCAACGTTGCAAGATTTGGCTACATTGGGCCAAATGTGGCTACTTTTTTTGTTTGACGTAAAAAATATCATTTGGCGCTTTGACTGCTTTTTCGGCTACAAATTATTTATAATTATATTAATTGAATAAAAACGCACTTTAAAATGGCGTTTCGTCACTTTTTATTAATTAGCGACCCAAATAAAACAAATATTTGTGTTTTTCAAATAAATTTTCGTTTGTCTCTTTTATAATAAATGAATTTATCTATTTCTAAGTAAAAATTGAAAGTGTCTGTAGAAGTAATTTTTTAAAATATCCTTTTTCTTGATAAAGTTTTAATACTTATTATTATAATCTAGACATGCTAATTTTTAAATATACTTGTATATTGGGCCACAAGTATATATTATATATACTTGTGGCCCAAGACTCCTTGACTTCTTCCAATGCGCCCAGAGAAACAAAAAGGTTGGACACCCCTGGTTTAGACAATACCGAGGGCATTAAATTTTCTTTTGATAACAAATTTAAGGTGTGCTGACAGTAACTAATGGTATAGTTGCTAAAATTGACGGAAATAAAGTTGGAAAATTGGAAAATTCACATGCTAAGTAAAGAAGATGCACTAGAGATTGTGACAGGCTTGCTGAGTACTGGATTGGTCTACCTAGATAGGGGGTTACCGGGGAGTGACATCATAGTTGATACCGAAGTATAGACAACATCGACGTCATTAATTAACCTTTGATACAATAAGAAAAGGCATGTGAACGACAATAGATGGGAAAAGTGCTAAGGTTGGAAAGCAGAAATTGGAAAAAAACACGCGAAAAGTAAAAAGAAAATAACGCGCTACGGGTTGCAACAGGTTTGGTGAGGGTGGGTTGGTCTATTTAGTTTAAGGGGTTATCGAAGAATGATTTCCATGCAGAGGAGAGCAAGTCTGCATCTCTGCTGTTGATACAACTCTCTTTGATGGATTGCGCAAATATTTCAATGGTTTCAACTGTTCTAAGTTTGCTATTGTCATGCATAGGAATAGTAATCTTTGCCTCTTCCCATTTGGTCGTTATATTTGGTTCACTTGCAAATTGGGCTAGGGTGGAAGTGAACTTTTTGTTGTATGCATTGTATTTGTGTTCAGCTATCCTCCTTTTAAGTGATCTATTGGTTGAGCCAATGTATGTTAGTTTTTTACTCAGGTTGGATCTGGTGTCCTCTAGTGGGACCATGTAAACTCCTGGTCTCCTGGCTTCACTGCATTTGTCCTTGGGATTATCCAGAAGTTTATACATCGTAGGGTTGCATTTGTATGCGAGAGTAGCTTTGACCTTTTTGGTTATGATTTTAAAAGCCTGGCTCATCCTAGGGTCAAAATCGACTACAATGTGCTTACCTTGCTGCTTTATAGGTTTGGAATTGACCACTTCAGTTGTTAAGCCACTGTGTATTTTTTGCACAAGCCTATCAATTAATTTACCATTGTAACCATGGCTGCGGCAAGGCGCTTGATGCACTGGATTTCTTGTAGTGTGTCCTTAAATAATGCATTTTACCCAATGTTAGAGCATTGGGTAAAAGCTCTACGGATTAGCGCTCTGAAAGCAGATATTTTATAAGTAATCGGGTCATTCGAGGTTGCAGGGATGAAGAAAGATCGAAGATTAGGCTATGGAATACGTTTGTGGTTATGCACCCATGATTCAGGAATATATTGAGGTCAAGGAAGTGGGCCATCCTATCATCCTGTTGGTCTAGCTTTAATTTAAGTCCAAACAGGTTGTTGTTCATGATATCACTCTTCAGACAAAATGCTAACAACTTTTAGAGTCAGTTACTTATTTGATAAAGCTCCTTTCAAGATCATTACACCTCACTGTAAGATCTAAACTTAAAAAATACTTTAAAATTAAATGTAAAAACATAGAACTACCACCAGTCAAGTAACAAAAATGTTAAATAAATTCATAAACATTTTAATTAATGGTGAGATGATTCAAACCTAACCTAAGTTCTATTTATAAATTTCAATGATTTTAAGATGCTTGGCATGAGGGGTCATGAACCATTTTAATAATGGATGATGCATCATATCATAACAATACATCATCTTGTTGGAGCATGAAAGCTACAAATAAACAAAAGAAACAATATCAATATTATATAAGAACTTTTCTTATATAATATTAATATTGTTTTAATCTATTCTGTAAGAACTAGAACAGGAGTGGTCAACCTATAATCCAGTACTATGGAATTTAGAATTCTGAATTATGGCTACTAAAAGTAAATGACATTATATGCTGGACATAAAGTTTTGATATTTCATTAATACAATCCAATCTCAAGCTAAAAGTAACTGACATTTATTCTATTAACTATGTATAAAATAAAAAATAATATTGCAGGAAAGAGTTACAGTTAGAAAAATTATAATTTGTGATTGTTACTTTTTGTTTTCAAGTACACACACTTTTCCATACTACAAACCAATTTTAAATAATGCATCTTTCAGTGTTTTGATATGGAGAGTTTATCTATATCCTTTACAACAGCTGTTAGATAAAGAATTGAAACATGTTCTCTCTGAAATTAAATATGCTGGTTACACTTTCAAAGTTCAGGCATTTAAGTCTGTTTTGAAATCTCTTTTCCCAATTTCTAATATGAAAATGAGGAGGGATATGGGGAACACATACATAACTATCCCTTATCTGGGACTGGTTTCATTAGGCCTTACTCCTATCTTCAAAAAACATGGGTACAAGATCCACTACTACACAAAACCAATGAACTAGCAATAAAAAAGAACTACTCACTTTAAAAAGAAAATGTTTTCATTCATTTTTAAAAGATATCTTTAGACTGGTATTCTAAAAATTCAAATTGTACGTTTTGGGAACGTATCATAAACTCGTACGTAGTCGTCGACGATTGGAGGATAGTTGATAGATGCCAATTGGGGGAATGTTCGTACGTAGAAACATGCATGGAATGTGCTTCTGTTGAATTGGTATAATTCCTTCAAATTGAACAAGTACCTTATTTGTTCAATTTGAAGGAATATGTGCATTTTTGTGAACATGCAAGTATCCTAACAAATGATATTTGTTAAGATGATATTATCCCTCCACAAAAATTATGAATATTAACTGATAGCGGCCCACTATTTGCACTGCATACTACAGTTACGACTAAAAACATCATTCCCAAAATGGAATCTCTCCTGGAAGGGATGGACAAAGCTCACAGGATCTATACAGGTGGAAGGCATTCTTCTCTTCCACAATCAATCCCAAGCCACAATACGTTAGAAATTTGGAAAAATCTACAATATTCAAAAGAGTGGATGTGTAGTAGCAGCGAGAGCTGACAAATCGTTCTGATGAAAAGATCTATCTACTAGGTAGGCATTTGGGATTACATACAACAAACACAGTGTTCTAGGGCTTGCAGGACTGTAGTTTCTTCTTAAACTATAGTCCCGCGCTACATATATCTAACACGCCCTTAGCAAACATCCCTCGCATTTGTAATGCCACCAGATTCTTTTCGCGCCTTCACCAAAACTCAGAAACCAGGCAAACAATTAAGACCGACCATAGATAACACATCATCACTAATGAGTATCTATCAGCTATCCCCCAATACATATATACTCTTTTAACAATAGTTCTCAACGCACGATCTGCAGACCGACCTAGCCATCTTTTTAAAATACAATTTTATGCTATTTAGCCACATTTTTATAAATCACATCTCTCGGGTCACCGTATAGATTACGTGCCAAAATACTTCATCTAACATTACCCAAAGCGTACGGAAAGCCGAGTCATCCGCGGTTCATCCGCCACAGGGTTTGTCGTCCACAATTCGAGAACTACCGTCTATATTATACTCTTCTCATTATAACTATACTATACTCTTCTCGCATTAAACTTACTTTATCTATAAAATAATCTTTCATACAATAGAAATAGTTATAGATTATGAATTGCTTAAATAAAGATTACAAATGTTTTTAAGATAAAAATTTTAAAGTGTATTTATCACGAAATATTTGTACTGTACAATATAGGGGTGACAAATCCCTTATTAAAGTGTTCAAATCATACCCAATATATACATATCAAATATTTAATATTTACATGCAAAACAATACCAAATAATTATGTAAAATTACTTGAAACAAAACTTTAAATGGTAGTTAAAAACTAATACTTACGTAAAATTAAGAGCATTCGCAATTCATGATTAACACGTGAAGTATCCCGTTGTCGAACGAGGATTTGTGTCCAGACATCCAGGAATCACCAAAAACAGAACAGACAAATATCAAAGTTCTCTCCTCCTCAGAGGAGTCATTCTGCGTTTGCGCAATCGCTGCCTAATTTCTCATCGGTGAAAAAATTGTTCACAATGTAAATGGGAACGTTACTTAAAATAGCTCTTTAGCTAATAATACCAAGTTTATTAAGAAGAATATTAACCTTGTTTTAAGTGGATCGACAACGTTTACACTTAATATTTTAAAGATAGATTTTAAATATCCGTTCTATCAATATCAAAAATAAATAATAATACTTTTTATTTATTTATATAAATTAAATAATTCTACTGTAAAGATACGTTTTATTTTATCAATTTTAACAAAAAACACGTTTCTTTAATATTCTTTTCCCTAATTTATATTATAAAATTGAATATTTCGAGATTTATTATTTTTTTTTTTTGCAATTGTCACTAGATGGCAGTGTTGCCTGATTGTTTTTAAGGCCCTAGGTTGGGCCATGTGGAATGAACGCTAGGGCCTAATAGAAACCATCGATAGTGGTAACGTAACCGTGGACTATAAATAACTGGAGGGGCAAAGGTTATACGAAGCTAATACGTGCGAGCGCAACACGATGGTCGCCATATTGTGCGGGGAAGAACCAACGTCTCGTGTATTTTTGTCAAAGCACTGCATTCTCGGTTAATTTTATTCAAACTGGATATAATTTAAAGAGTAGCCGACAATAGCAAATAAGTCGATAAAATTTTACTGTGTATTGTAAATATATTGTCATTAAATTACATGAAATAGATTGTGATATTACATCTACATTATCTATCAAAATTTACATTGTAAGAGTGTGCATACCACACCTGTGTAAGATAGTAAACTGCGTATCTACTTCGATTACATTTCTAACCAGCGCGTTACGGACTTCGTGTACAGTATTTGGTGGTTCTACATATTAACATTTAAATTTTATCCAAGGTTTTTTATAGAGACGAACCAAATAGGGACAAGGTGATACAGAAACAGCTAGATGTCTTCTTTTCTCAAAATCTTCAATACTGCTTAGTGGCATCTCGGCAAAAATGCCGGATCCAATCGGAAATTCTCTGCTTTTGCGTGTTATGTTATTTGTCGGAACATAAAGTACTGTAATATGAGAAATAAATTAAACGCATTCTATCCCGTAAGATGTTATGCTAATTTTTAGTTCTCGATGTTGTTTGAAGTCGAGAAGAATCCGGTATTTAAAAATATAATTATAAAATGTTTGAAAAAATTTTAAAAATTTGTTATTGTTAGATGTTTTTCATTGTCGAGAAACAATTTGTAGGTTTAAAAGTATTATATATTTTTCTCGCGAAGTGTTTTAATCTTCCAAATTACAAGTGATAAATTTACTTGTATTTATGGAATGACGTAGAACTTGGTTAGAAAGCCAATAACAGTAATCACCACAAAGAAAACATTAAGAGAACGAAACGTTTTATTAATTTTATCATACAGTAACTATTTCTAGTCATTAATAAATAAATACTTAAATAATATAATATACGCATTTAATATGAAAGCAATGAGAATATTTCAGATTTGAAGTGCATTTATGCAAAGCAATAAAATTTATAATCCGTAAATTCGACAGTTCATCTTAAAGTCTCGAGTCTCAAACTGTCGCATGAATAACACCGAAAAGGATTGGTATAATTTGGAGCGAAACAGATATCACATTCCCAAGATTCTGTTGAACGTTGTAATATTGTTCTCCGAGAATCTGTCGGTGACTGAAAAATAAGTTTATGTTATAAAAGTATTTTAATTTAAATTCGAAATATTAATAAATGACATCAATGTAGACTTTTACTTGTTTCGCAATTGTCGGTTTGTCTTGAGAATTTTCAGTTTTATTTTTGGAACATTTCGATAATAATTCATCATTAAAGACTGTGACAATCGGTCGGATGTATCTCTTAAAAGCGCTCCGAACTAAATATGTCAATATAATTAGGAGTTAAAAAAGTCATTTCGTAAATTAAAACGATGTCTTTTAAAGATTAAATTTTTAAATTAAATGCAAACATTTAAAACAATAGCGTAAAGTTTATTTTCAACCGATAAATCGCAATTTTATTGGAGGGTGTAAATTGGAAGTTTTTATGTTTTTCTTCGTTGGAAGATGAACTTTTTGTAATAATTTCAGATTACAATTTTGCATCTATGCGTTAATGTTTTCAAAATTTATTATTGGTAAAATAATAATATAATTCCATTCTTTTACCAGTAAAATTTTCATTATTACTTTACTTTTATTTTTTCGGCTGTTATGTATACATAACAAGGGAAAATATTGGAATCGTGTCAAACTTGACCCTCCGAGTTTATTTGCAAATCTCCACGTTTTGAGACCCTCACGAACCCAAAAAGGGCAGAAAAAGACGTATGTGTGTGGGGGCGTCTATTTCGCTTAATATGGGATGAATACGGGCTTGGTACTTAAGGGGAAATTGCAGCCGGGAAGCGGAAGTCGTTGCTAGATTTTTTTAAATATTTAATTATATTTAATAAAATATAATGTAATAGTTATTATAATTTATTAATAAAAATTCTTCATGTTTTATAATATAAGATTGATTAAATGAAATGATTTTTATTCAATTCATATATTTTTACTAATTCAAATATTCCGTACCTGGTATTTCTCGATGAATTATTTGGCAAGAAGTTTGTTCCGTTTGTATTTTAACTTTTAAATTAACATTTATATTTCTCTCTCTTTCTAAATTATTATGTATTGTATTTACATACTCCATGTAGTTTCTGTAGTCTTGTTCGTAGTCTTTTATTTGTATTAATAACGGCAGAAACACATTATACAGTGTTAATGCCAATCTCTCATATAATTTCTGAAAAATAACATAAATATCGATGTAATTTCATCACTTAACTTTATTACACTATTTACAGTTTCGTGTTATTCATAACTAAAAAGCACAGATGTTTCGGGCTTATATTTTAAATTATTTCAATTTCAGTTCACCTGTGTAACTATTAATCTTATCAATAAATTCAGTGATGACTTTTTTATTAAATTGAAAGAACAAAACAGCTTATTACAACTGCATTTTTGGACATAAATATAGAATTAAAAAATGGAAAGATGCACACAAGTGTATAAATCAAGCTAACACACAGCTCACTGTACTGTACATCCGTTGCAATTCAAACGACCCTTTTCAATGCAATATAGCAGCATTCCGGGCACTCATCAGAAGAGCTTTTTATATTGCGGTAATTATTATATCTCTACCTGCATTACTATAATCAATTAATAAACTTTAAATACCTTTAAAATGCAGTCTATTTTAAAGGTATTTGGAGTTTATTAATTGATTATTGCGGTGATTTACGTAATGCACAGAACGAAGGAACTGAACAGAATCAGACAATTGGCCACAACGCTATAATATGGAACTAGCACGATAGGTCTGATTATAAGGTTTGAAGATGGCGCAAACTGAGGACTCGGTGATAAAATGGGAAGAGGCAAGCATCTTTAAGTCTTTACACTCCCTAACAATAGCACAGAACGCCGAAAAACTTGAAATATACAAAAGCAGATTAAAAGTGCATTAATGGAAGCGATGCGGACAGTTTGGCAACGGAATGGAAATACGTTGTACAAAATAAGTTTGTCGGAAGACCATAATTACCTCATTTCTACTATATATTTTTGAGTTCATTTTGCTTTATATTCAAATATTTAAACGTTATTCTTTTATTGTATTCTATTTTGGAACGATATTTAAAAGTAAAGATGTTCTAAGAAAAAATGTAGCCTGAAGATGGCCAATTAGAATAGGTTGAAAACGTTTTCCAAATAAAAGCTGATCCCAGCAGCCAAAAAAGGTGTTTATAGATTTATTCTGCATTGTTCTGCTGAGGTTAATTTAGATTAAGATATCTTTGTAACGGAGATGAACAACTTGAAAATTATTTCACTTAAAAGCTTGTATTTGTAATTTTTTCCTCTTTCCGCCCTGTGGGCACTAAGAGGACCTCTTATAGCAAGCCCATTATGGGTTCGGACAGGCCCACAATGGGACAGTCGGGGGCCGACATATGAAAGTTCGTATAAATGAAACATTTCGTTGTTTCGTTCGTCACCAGAAATGTCACAAAAACATCTTTCATAGACATATTATCATTTAGAATAGAAAAAAATTAACATTTTTATAATTTCAAATGGCAGTTGTATGTATTGTAAGCAATATAAGTGAAATAATCTAAACCATCTGGAGTGGGAATTTTAACAAATTTTATAGCAAATTATAAATAAAAGTGAATTATTTTCTAACCTTAAGTCGAACAGGTCGAACTTGGTGCAAAATATACTTTATAACCTTGGAAAACATTTCTTTAAGAAAAGCGCATCCAATATTCACTTTTTCGAAGAGCATTGTTAACGCAACAATAGAACTCAATTGTTAAAATTGTATTGTGACGTTGTATGACGACGTCAAAAAATAAATATAATGTGGTGTAAATAGATCTACGCACATATTTTTAAGTGTAAAACAGTAGTTTAATATTCCCTAATATTAAAATAATATAAGTACCACATAAAGCAGAATTTTTGAAAATAAAATAAATCTCTGCAAAAGGACTTGTTAGCGCTTCATCTTTTAATGTACTTAATAGAATACATTGCGCTCGTTTGCTACGGGTTACTATTTAGTACTACTACTAAATACCCGCTACTATCTAGTAGCGGGTGTTTTAAATGCATTTTTTTAACCTATCGCACTTAATTTTATAATGTCCAGTTTAGTTTCTATGGTAATAGAGTGAACATTCTAACGTTTATCTCCACTGCATGATGTAGTATTATGTTTCGGACGCTATTTTTTTAATATTTCGACCGATAACTTTCTAAATCAGTAGGGTTATTATCTAATTAAACTTTTATTAATTAAACTAGAGAGAAAATATACTTGGCAAATCATGCGGAAATCATTTCATTGAGTTGACTAAATTTTTTAGTCTTAAGAATGAATCATCAGATTTTAAATTCTTTTAATATTAAATAATATATAGTATATACTGTTTATATCATTAATGATATAATGCTTTAAATTTTATTTTAATTTACAGTAGTAAGTAAAACAATAAATTTAAAGATTAACAAAAATAAAAATATAATTTATAAAAAGCAATTATTTATATTTTTTAAAAAATTTCACAGTATATACTGTATATATAAAGCAAATAAAAATCTTGTAGTTTAAGTATTTAGGATAAATGATAATGTTTTACAATTTTTACATTATATATACAGCTAATCTAGGTACTGATTTTTTATTTATACACTATTAAACAAACAGTTTTGAAAACTTGTAGAATCAGTGTAAATTTCTTCAACATAATTACAATTTGTTGGCAATTGTATCACGATGGACTGGTCTCCAATTGGTACNAAACTTGTAGAATCAGTGTAAATTTCTTCAACATAATTACAACTTGTTGGCAATTGTATCACGATGGACTGGTCTCCAATTGGTACAAAATGTGTATTAGGCATTCAACAAAATGATAATTGCCTCAAAAAATCAAAAATTCAAGATTACACACATTACTGTTCTTTTTTTCAACTTTTTTGCAGTCAATATTGTAAAAAACAATACATACTGATAATTATACTGTGAGTAATTTCTTCATTGTAATTTAACACTACAAGAAATAACAATGAGCAACATTAAGTTGAGCACAATTTATTGTGAAAAAGTCAATCTTTGATGTTATTTGCTAGTTTTATCCCCTTTCTGGTGTATTTCTTTCCCTAGTTTCATTATTTTATTTTGTAGGCAGCCTTAATGCCATTAATGTTGCTCTGCAAACTGGCTACCTATCAAATCAATACAAACCCTAATCACACCAACTGTCAGAATATACTAATTAGGTATGTACAATTTAAAAATTTGTCTTCCATGATTGGGATTTGGGCAATGCAAAAAACTGCATGTTGTTAATAGCTTACTTCCTCTTAGACAGAATTGGAAAGCTGAAAGCCATTGGTGCATGTGCATCATCAAAATTTTCTGCTATAATTTTGAGTTCTCTCTGATGGTGCACATTGGAAGATCTTGAAATGGACACAAACCACACAGCAATGTACGTATCTAAGGTACAAAGCAGCAGCAAACAAAAAATTCAGCCCATCAATGAGGACTTAGAAGTGTCCTAGAAACAGAAAAAAAAATTATGTATAAAAAATTTTTGAAAAGATATACAAATTACAACCTATAAAAATTTTACATACTAGTCATGAAGACAGAGCAAATTCCTTAAGATGTTCTTCAATATCCACTCGACAAATAGGACATCGCTTATTTGTTGTTAACCACTGATCAACACATTCAATGTGAAATAAGTGCATGCATGGCAATCGGCTAGAAATATAATGATTATATAAGTTATAAAAATATTAAATTAAAAAAATTATGTTGAAATTGTCATTATAGTTTAATACATTAAACTTAATTTATAAAAATAATTCCATTATTTTCTAAATAGAATAAACTTTTACCGAACATCTTCATTATCTTCAAATTCACTCAGACAAATAGTACATTTTTCTATATTATCTTCACCATCACCACTCCTTTGAATCTAAATAAATAAAAAGCAAAAAATCAATAAAATAAACAATTTTCTTTTAAAGCATAAATATTTTTATTTCAATCATTATTTTAAAATACCTTTTTATATTTATGTGGAAAAGTGTTGCGTTCTATGGTGCTTTGTGATGCACCTCTATTCACAGCCAACCGCCGCTGTTCAATAATTCTCATGTAATCCTGCAAGTAATTTTTTGATTAAAAGATGTATATTAACAGGAAAAGTTCAAATAGCATTATATTAATTGAAATTAGACATGTTCTATATTTTATAAGTCAAAAATATAACTAACATAATTCAAAAAAATATTTTTTTTTTAATTTCATTTAATGATGTTAATTCACAGCTAATTAATTATATATATTCTTTTTGTTTGATTTATGTATTATTGTAGAAACAATTATTAAGTGATAAAAGCTTACAAATTACCAATATATAAGCAAATGTAAAATATATTATCAACTATTATAAGCTAATATATAAGTTGCAGTTTATCATCATTAAAAAAATTAAACAATATGAAATTTACTACATGTATAAAGATTATATGGGACAGTTAATACATGAAATTATAAAATTAGTACTTATGTAGAGTCTGCAAGAGCAGGCTACTATAATATATTAGGTCAGTCCATAAGTTCGTGTGTATTTTATGATCTTGTTTTGCTGTTAAAAATGCCAGTCTAATGTGATACTTTTTACACTGAAGTGTTAAATTGGATCTCATTCATATAATACTGTTCAGAATTGGGAACATTTCAGTTGTTTATTTTCGTTAAAATGGAAGTAACAGATGAATATAAGAGACATGTTTTATACTTTTTATTTTTAAGTGATGAGAATGCTACAAATGCAGCCAAAAAATTAAATACTGTTCATAATCAAACTGTAATAAGTGTAAGGACTGCGCAGAAGTGGTTTGAAAGATTTAGAAATAATGATTTTAGTGTGGAGGATAAGGCTCGTACTGGAAGACCTGTTGACTTTGATGATGATGCTCTCTCTGCACTAGTTGAAGCAGAACCATCTTTAACAGTTGATGAAATTGCGGAACGTTTAAATTCATCCCATGGAACTGTTCATAGACATCTACAACAAATCGGAAAAGTTTCAAAGCTAGGAAAATGGATACCACATGAACTGTCAATAGCTAACTGACAACAACGTCAACTGCTCAACTCAAAAGCTTCAACTGGGAAATTTTACCTCATCCACCATATTTGCCAGATATTGCTCCCAGTGATTATCATCTTTTTCGGAGTTTGCAGAATTTTTTAAAAGGAAAAACTTTTGAGGATGAGAACAATGTAAAAAAGGCTATTTCTGAATATTTTGATTCAAAACCGAAATCATTTTACAAAGACGGGATTAAAAAGCTACCATCAAGATGGCAAGAAATTGTACAAAATAATAATGAATACATTATAGATTGAAATAAAATTTAATTAAAATTTTTTGTTGCTTTTTTTGTAGATAAAAATGCGCACGAACTTATGGACTGACCTGATATATATGATATTATCTAATAATTTGCACAGTTTACAATTTAGTATTTTTCAGCCTAATGGCCTCATTTAATCTGAAGTTTGACATGCAATCAGTAATGTGAAATTATAATTTTCAATTGTTACCAACCGAAATATATTTTATTGCTTATTCATAATAAATAAATTACAAAAATGAATTAGTCAATTCACAGTTTTGACTTCTCAACAATCTTATGAAATTTCAAAATTTTGAAATTTATTTAATTATATGAAACTGTATTAGAAGTCAAAAACAATCAAATTAATATTAATCATAAAGAAATTTGATTCAAGACAAAGGATTTTTAATATTCTAATAAGAATTAAATTAACATGATAACATAAATATTTTAATAAGTAAAAGTTGGATTGGGAGAATAAAATATTTTTGTGTAATTCAACATATGATATCTGAATTTTATTGATTTTCACTATATAGGGTTCTATTCACCAAATTCCATCTGACAATTTACAAAATTTATTAGTATTATAATTCTTTTCAAATTATAATACTAATAAAATTTTATTTATTTTTTTGTTTATACACACTTAGATTTTAATGTCACTTATGCAATTTCTGAATTTCTCACAACAAATTTTCATATTTTTATTCCCACTATTCCTTTTAGTAAATTTTAATTTTAACTGAAGACCAATTTTTCTTCAGTATATATTTCTTTAATATTCATTTAAAATAACTAAACTTTCATTCCAGCACAAAATCCTTTCCTTTTAGCAAGTGTTTTCAGGTTTGTTCATAACCTTTCTTCAAATCAAAATAAAAACTCTATAATGCTTTCCAAATCAAACAGAAAAAAACATTTGCTAAAAGGAAGGAATTCAGGGATTGAGTGCTGGAATGAAAGGCTAGTTACTTGAAGTAAGTTATTCTCCAGTTTGTTTCAACAATTTGAAATTCTTTAATATTAATATTAAACCAAAAAAAGAATAGCAATTTATTTTGTACGGAATCAGACTAGGCAGCATTTTATGTTGAGAATTGTTAGTGGAGAGAAAATAAATATATTATATGTAGAATATAAAGTAGAAACACTAAGTTAAACCCCAAAAACAAAGGGTTAAGAAGACAAAAGAAACCTGTTAGATCACCTTTTCATGTGTAGACATATATGTTCATCTCATTCTGTAGTGTGCCAAAGTATATAGTCAAGGTAGTCTTAATCTTATAGAATAAAATATAGAACAAAAAATCAGAGTCTCATTATTATTCTATCAACAAGAATACTAAAACAGTAGGTTCTTCTACTTAGAAATAACATAAGTTTGCTGTTATATATTTTCTGAGAAAATTAACAAAGATGCAGTTATAAAAGAAAATTTTATTAGCCCTACATAATGAAATGTAATGTACCATATCCCATGTAAGTAGATCTAATGATAATAAAGAAAATCTTGCTGGAGAACTAAAAGAGTAGATGTTAATGGTCTCATATAGAAATTTCAAGACAATAACTATACAAACTATAAATTCATTGGAATAGATGACCTTTCATAGCTGGAAACAGAACGAAGGTAAAATAGATAAACTCATTGTCTACTTTAGGCTTTAATACAAAGGTCATGTCATAATCACTGTGCATTAATGAATAAAAAAGCAAGAAGTGGGTCGTACTTACCAAAAGTTTTTACAGACCCTCCACATAATCTCTGCCATGTGTGTAACATCCATTTCCAAATGTCTGGCAGGTACCATGCTCTGTTGGCAATGCTGTTTTCAAGGATAGAGTGCATGGTCTTCTCTATTGCAACTAGAATAGGATCTGTCAATATGAATCAACCTAATACAAAATTCCTTGAGCATCACTTACTACTTGCCCTTTGCTAAAAGAGAGCTTGCACTTGTTCAAAAACAGGCAATTCTGTTGCACAACAATGTTCATTGCCTTATTGCTGGTGTGGAAATAACACTGCCACATAAATAATATTGGGAGATCCTTCAGCATCTGCCCTGTTCATCTAATATGTTTCCCAGTGATTTTGACTTGTACTGGAAACTAAAAGAACCTTTACAAGACTTTACTTAATTGTACTATTAACTAGTACATGGAAAAATAATTCTCCTATCCATTCTGACTTATGGAGCCTGGCGATGAAACCTGTGTGAATGATGTGTCTATCACTGATGGCTAACTTGTATCATATTCTGTCATAAGAAACCCTACTGAGGAGGCTGATAGAGGCAAAATGCATTTAGAGTTAAATATGGTGTAAAATAATAAAAAATTCTTTTCTCTCAGAGTTAACCTGTTTTGTTTTTGCTTTTTTATACAAGTCTTGTTCCATTTTTGAGTAAATGGATTAATGACTTGGAACTTTTTAGCCTCCATAAGTCAGAAAGGATAGGAGAATTATTTTTTCGTGTACTAGTTAATAGTACAATTAAGTAAAGACTGATTATCTGACTCCATTGGTTTTTTAAATATTGAGCCTTTACAAGGTTCAACGATTCCCGTGAATAGATGCCCTTCTAGCTGAAATAGAGCAGTTCATACTCTCTATTTGTGAAAATAATTCTGCTAACAGAGCATGATACCTGCCAGACATTTGGAAATGGGTGTTACATACATGGCAAAGACTATATGGAGGGCATGTAAAAACTTTTGGTAAGTACAACCCACTTCATACTTTTTTATTCATTAGTGATCAATAATTATGAAATTACCCTTGTATAAAAATATTGTCTGTGTTTTTATTTAATTTATATTAAATTAAATTAACTTTATTGATAAATAAAAATTTATTTTATTTATAAGAAGTTTTGTGTCTGACCTTTTATTATTTTATGAACACTAACAACTACATCATATGAAACCTACTGTATATTATCTAAAATATTCCTCAAATATACTTAATTTATACCTAATAAATTTTTAGATTAAGTATACAAAACAATACTTTTCAAAAAAAAAAAAAAAATCAAAACAAGTATTCCATAAGTTTGATAAATTCATTCTTACCATACTAAAACAAAGGAGGTCCTAGACACACCATTTATTCTAATGATTAATCATTAGAATACATAATGTCATGCAACCCACAGTGAAATGTTCTTTGGATGGAATTAATGCTATTTAGGCTTGTGAAATGGAAAATATAATGTGTCCTTTTTTCCTTTAATGTTTGCAAAATAAATTGGCTTATCAATATTAATGATATTATATTTCTGAAGTTCTGAAACAATAAAGAACCAGTCTAGAATGATGAAGGAATAATTTCAGAATTCTAGAAAATTTTAAATAATTTTGATTGAGACAGGCATTTTATAAAGTGATATTGAATGAATTTATATACTGTATATATAAGATTAAATATTTGCTGCTCAGTGCTGTTAGTGATTCTTTATGAATCTTTGAAAAAAGAATATTAAAACGATTGTTGTTCAATCTAGAAACATGGATAAATTACTTTTTAATTCATGTATTACAATCACATAATAAGATAATGATTTTTTTTAGTTTGTTGACTGTTGTTATATTTTATTTATTTCTTTTTCTTCTTCTTCTACTTATTATTTTTAAACACAAAAGTATTAAGATAAGTATTTGTACATTTACAATATAATGATAAAAATTGTCTGTTATATTTTATAGCTGTTTTGATCCTATTTTCAACATGAAAATATTTCATATTTTCATGTTGAAATAATCATATGAAATACAAAGTTTTGAACTTTGTATTTCATATGATTATATTTTAGTTTAAAAAAATATTAATAAAAACTAAATAAAAATGATTTACAATTTGTAACTAATGACAACATCATTATTACTATTTATAAAGCATTATAAAATAATTTAAATATGAGTCAATCAATAATTATATATAGTCAACTTATAAATCATTGTAGGATGATATTTATAATCACTGAATATAATCATTAACTGTAATGATTTTTGTAATGATAAATGTAAGTATTGGAAAGCATTTTTAAGAAAGATGAGAAAACAATGATAAGGAATAAAGTTGTTGAGTAGAAATTAACTAAACAATTAAAAAACTAGCTTAATGTATAAAAAAAATTTTTTTAAATGTTACTGAACTTTTTTGAGTATATTAATTTTAAAATAATTCAGAAAATGTGGAATATAAAGTAGAAACACTAAGTTAAACCCCAAAAACAAAGGGTTAAGAAGACAAAAGAAACCTGTTAGATCACCTTTTCATGTGTAGACATATATGTTCATCTCATTCTGTAGTGTGCCAAAGTATATAGTCAAGGTAGTCTTAATCTTATAGAATAAAATATAGAACAAAAAATCAGAGTCTCATTATTATTCTATCAACAAGAATACTAAAACAGTAGGTTCTTCTACTTAGAAATAACATAAGTTTGCTGTTATATATTTTCTGAGAAAATTAACAAAGATGCAGTTATAAAAGAAAATTTTATTAGCCCTACATAATGAAATGTAATGTACCATATCCCATGTAAGTAGATCTAATGATAATAAAGAAAATCTTGCTGGAGAACTAAAAGAGTAGATGTTAATGGTCTCATATAGAAATTTCAAGACAATAACTATACAAACTATAAATTCATTGGAATAGATGACCTTTCATAGCTGGAAACAGAACGAAGGTAAAATAGATAAACTCATTGTCTACTTTAGGCTTTAATACAAAGGTCATGTCATAATCACTGTGCATTAATGAATAAAAAAGCAAGAAGTGGGTCGTACTTACCAAAAGTTTTTACAGACCCTCCACATAATCTCTGCCATGTGTGTAACATCCATTTCCAAATGTCTGGCAGGTACCATGCTCTGTTGGCAATGCTGTTTTCAAGGATAGAGTGCATGGTCTTCTCTATTGCAACTAGAATAGGATCTGTCAATATGAATCAACCTAATACAAAATTCCTTGAGCATCACTTACTACTTGCCCTTTGCTAAAAGAGAGCTTGCACTTGTTCAAAAANTTTTTTAAGTTGATTTTTAAGTTTATTTTAATGTTACATTATATAATATGCCAGTAAAATTAAACTTATAAATTTAATGCAGAATAAATCGACTTATATTTTTAGTATGGATATAATAAATATTGATAAAAATAGAACAACAATATCACCTGAGATTTACTGAGTTAAATTAGGAAAAGTTCGTTACTTTTATAGAATTAAATTTAATTGCTTTTATTAAATTTCGGTCATTTTTTTTTGTTCTTATAAAATAAATCTGAGACTACCCAATATTTTTAAAATATTTTTTCGAATATAAGTAAATAGATTTCTATGAAAAGTTCTTTATATTGTTACTGAAATATAAAAAAATTAAATCAGTAAATACATACTTCCAGTCTTGCCTGCATATGGCGAGATAAGAAAGGCATATAATGGTGATAGAGAGGCATTGTATGTGGTATATCAGGTATTGCAGGAATTGGAAACATATCTGGAGGACGCTGGCTGACAGCCTAAAAATGAATGTATATGTATATATTTATTTATTTATTATAAATAAACTTAATCTCAAATAAATTTCAATAAAAATATTAAAACATATCTTACCATGCCTGCTGCAATGCCAATATGTATAGCAGGCAATACACCAAAATGATGTAGTCGAGGAGGAGGAGGAGCATGATAATGATGTTGATGCAAATGATGATGGAGATGGGGATGACTGGGATCATTACTGAAATAATTTATATCAAATAAATTATATAATACATAATATGTGCATATTTATTATACATATTTATATTATTATATTTATCAAAGTTACTATAGAAAATAAATAAAAAAAATAGTAATTCAAACAAAATATTTTATGCAAAGAATCTGAAGTATTTAAAATAATCAATTATCAATTGTATGGATTTAATAGCATTTAGAAAAATAAGAATTTTATTGATTTTAATATTGATGGATTGATGAAATCTAAACAAGTTTTATAATGATATGTAAAATTTCTCATGTTATACAATAAATTTTAATGTTTCCAATTTTAAAATATTTATCTTCAGATATTGCAGAATGCTAAAAAAGTTCAGGATAAATACTTTGAAAAATAACAAAAATTTAGTATTCTTGTTTCAACTATTGAATAACAAAATAAAAATACAAAATAATAATAATAATAATAAACAAAGCTCCAAATCAACCTTAAAAGCATTGTTGTATATGTACCGTGTGATTAATATTGAAAGTATTGATAAAACATTTTTTTAATTTAAATGCTCAACTGTTCAATTTTCAAACAGTAATTAAAGTTAGATACTGTATTTATGTTTTTTGGATTAGATTTTGTTTTTTAGTTATTTTCAATAAAATTTTTTTCTGTTTTATTTTTTATATTTGATAATCACAATTAATGTAATTCTTTAAAAACTATTCTAACAACATATATGTAAAATCATCTTGTATTTTACAGCAAACAAGACATGTTCTTCCATTTCAGCACAGACTATTTAAAAGAAAAAGTATTTAAGTAAGATATTCCATGCCTTTGGCACTCAGTTCCATATTTTGTTTTACTGTATTTTGGCTAAAAAACTAAAATTAGAATGCAAATTTTATTTATCAGGATAAAGAAGAGTTTAAAAGAAGTCATCTACAATTAAAACTTAGCATTAAAATACTTGACACAAATACATACAAAAGCCTGAAACAATAAAGAACCAGTCTAGAATGATGAAGGAATAATTTCAGAATTCTAGAAAATTTTAAATAATTTTGATTGAGACAGGCATTTTATAAAGTGATATTGAATGAATTTATATACTGTATATATAAGATTAAATATTTGCTGCTCAGTGNCAGGATAAAGAAGAGTTTAAAAGAAGTCATCTACAATTAAAACTTAGCATTAAAATACTTGACACAAATACATACAAAAGCTGCTTACTTTTAGCAAATACTAATAATAATGTTATTGTTTAAATAGAGTTAGGCTAGGAAGAAGTTAGATATAGCCTACTAAAGACCATTTAGTGAATTAATTAGCCAATGTGAGATTGCAATTTAAAATATGGTGTATAAAAACTTTTTAACTTTAAAAATAATACTGCATAAAAAAAATTGATAAACTATATAAGATTATAACTAATTAATGAAAATTTTATTACTTATAAATTATAAACAGATTATGCTTGTACATTTTATAACATTATTATTTTTTTCTATAACAATATTTATCATTACATACAGTGTATAAATACATTTGTTTAATTATTACTGTATATTTTTTTAATATGAAACTCAAAATTTGAAAATTACCTGCCAGATGTGGGGCCAACATCTGCTGGAAGATTAGTTGTAGCGTCCATTACTAAATCAGGTGGAGGTTGGGGTGGTGCTGCTGGCTGAGGTGGACAAGGAGTTACTGTAGGACCCGTGGAAGCTGGAACCACTGGATTGGCAGTAGCAGATGGACATGGTCCCAACAGAGACTGTAAAGGATGTGTCATATGACCAGTTGGAGGTGGAACAGTAGGAGATGCACTAACAGCAGGTGGAATGCTAACTGTTGGAGTAGTTACAGTATCTGGACATAAGTAAAAGTTAGGTCCTGGTGTTTGACTCTGAGAATCCATCAATCTCTGAAGAGCTAAAGCTTCTTGTTGCCTATAATGTAAACAGAGATAATTCAATAAAATTATAAAAATATATTTACAATAAAATTACTAACATATTTATCCATTACACAATATTATTATTTATTACTATTTATTACAGCCAATTATAAATAAATAAGAAAGAACAATTCATCCGTTTCAGATTTAAATTGAAAATAATTTAAGTAAAAATCAGATTTTTAAAGAATTAAAGTGTATTTACAGAAATAAAATAAAATAAAGTTACATAAATGTAGTTATAATATAAAGCTCAATAAAATATAGCTGTGCAGACAGTGAAGAAATATATGCATTTATGCACAATTTTCTAATATAGGGAAAAAATTTAATTCAAGAAGTTTGATCTTGTTCAGGTAAAAAATATTCAGAGAATATAGTGAATTAAGAAATTCACAATTTTTATATAAAGTAGTGTTAATAATCATAGTTAATGGTAAGTCAAAAACTTATTAAGAGATGATGCTATGATGATGACTATTGTATATTAAGAACTAATGTAGCAGATAGTACTTCAAGTGAAAAAATTAATTAATTCTTTAATTTATTTTATAACATAAAAATAGTCTAATAAAGTAGCTTAATTAACATTTGGGTTATAGACTGATTGGACATTGCTATTTCTGCATAATACAGAAAAATCTTGTTTTAACAGATCTCTTGGACCACTGAAAATCATTTGTTGTTCCAAGAATCCATTATATTGTGAACAAATGACTGCACACCCAGAAATATATGAGTTATTCAAATAAATTTCCATTTTTTAGCCCTTTCATATAAGAAATATCAGTATTTGAAATTAGTATCAAGATCTCTATTCTTTATAACATACGTGTTTCAATTGGTTTTATGCCTTTTGTCAGGTTTACTTTAATGAAAACTAATATTGCAATTTGTTTCTTCCTTGTCCTACCTTTCCTATCAACCATATGTCATTGTTGCTGCTTTCAGACTTTAACCTTTAAGACTGTCACTGTGTTTTGTTTTCATACATTAATATTTGTATATAGTAATGCTTATTTAAACAGTTTTAGATAAGTGTTATTAAACTTTTTCCAATTGTAGGTAAGTAATCACTCATAAAAATGACAAAAAAAAAATGCAGAGGTATCTCAATACTCAAACTGTTTCCAACTCAAACAATTCGATATTCGAACATAAATTCTAAAAAATAAATTTCTCAGTCCTCAATTGAACAAAACAAATTTTCAATTAATACAATATTTTTACTTTTAATTTTGTCATACGTTAGAAATTTTTATATTTTATGTAAAAATAAAAAAAGGCATTTCCAATATTTCTGATCAAGATCAACAAAAATAGCTCAGAAGATGATAATACATTGTAAAAAGAAAACCCTCTTGTTTAACTAAAATTAATATTAATGCATAACACAGTACTTTTAATTGTGATTGTTAATTAATTATTGATTGCTTTAATAAACATACACTCACTGCCAAAAGTTAAGCACAGAGCAGAAAATGTTCATGTCCGGAAAGCAATCGGCATTTGAGAGGCTGCAATTCATTGCAGAGGTGGGTGGAAGTATGCAAATATGTTACATTACTATCAATCATGGTTACGTGTCGCAAAATATGAAAAACAGGCAATCTTATAAGAAGCCAGCCTTCTGAAGTGTGAGAGGAGTTGCATGTAAGTGCCGAGAAAAAGTGTGGAGAACTGTCATACAATTAGTGTGCATGACTGATATGTTTCTATGGCTTCCAGAAGACGAATGACAGACGGTGAGCGCTGGCAGTGTGTGGGATGCCTTGAAGCAGGACAATCAATCCCAGATGTTGCTCTTTTCTTTGGTGTTCATCATTCTGTCATTTCACGGTTATGGAAACAATTCCAAACAAGTAAACAGTTATCCCGAAGACCTGTGGCCAGTCGCCCAAGGGTTACGACCCCCGCAGAAGATCGCTATATTGCTGTTGTAGCCAAGCAGAATCGAAGAGTGACCTCTACATGTGTGACATCAATTGGTTGCAGCAGCCATTGGTAAAACGATATCTGCTACTACCATGCACCGAAGGCTACACATGAACGGAATGTACGCCCAGGTACCACGAGTTTGTGTTCCACTATCCGTCCAATCCAGAGGCACACAATTAAAGTGGTGTTGGCAACATATGAATTGAACTGTGTCTGTTTGGGGCAACGCTATGTTCATGGATGAGTTGGGATTTTCCTTGGAGCCAGATGACAAGCATGTAAGAGTATGGAGAGAAAAAGGCACATGCAATCAACTTTAGATCATCATCAAGCATCACACATTCCAAGGTGGAAGCATTACGGTGTAGGTAGGCATTTCGTTGGGATATCACACTGACCTGCATATCTATCGAGAGGGTTCTGTGACGGCTATCCAATATTGGGATGAAGTCCTAAAACCTATTGTGAAATTGTATGCTGCAGCAGTTGGTCCTGCTTTCGTTTTAATGGATGATAACGCACAACCCCATAGAGCTGCCCTCGTCGACAACTACCTCGAGAGTGAGGGAATCATGTATATGGATTGGCCGGCATACTCGCCAGACCTCAATCCCATTGAGAATCTTTGGAATGCCCATGGCCATGTTGTGTGTACACGTTTCCCACTCCCTGCCACTCTCACAGAGTTGCAAACTGCTCTACAGGAGGAATGGCACTTATTTGACTCTGGAGTGGTTGATCACCTCATGGAAAGCATGGTTACATGCTGTAAACTTTGTGTAAGGATGAGGGGTGACCATTTACCCTATTAATGTCGGTTTTGTTTGTTTGTTTTGGATTTAAACATCGTTTTGTTAATGATTTCAATATGATTTCATCTTATACTTTATGAAAATTCAATATTGTTTTCATCTTTCTATGTGCTTCTTTGTGTTGTTTCATGCATAAACATATTTGCTACTGTCCTGCCGCATTTCATGTCAATCACAGCTGTATTTGTCAATTTTTTCGCAGTTTACTGCTCTGTGCTTAACTTTTGGCAGTGAGTGTATTTCCCTTAGTAACAAAAAAGAATAGTATACTTTTGTTAACATTTGAAACCTAACCACATGTTTTGACTAGTCCTTTGTTTCATATAGCATGGATTCGCATAACACAGTACTTGTTCAAAATATAAGTACCATGTTATACGAGGGACACCTGTAAACAAATATCCTAATTTAAATTGTGAAACTACAGTATGATAGCATAATTTATATTTTTGGGTAATTGTTTCATTTTGAATTACATTACATTTATAGTTCAATATTATATTATTCTAAAGTTTTTGTTTAAAATCATCAGGATTTTTTCACAAATCAAAACTCTTATATACTATTAAATCCATTGAAATAAGACAATTTCCATTGCATTAATATTTATTATATGCATAATCATATTAGAATAAAGTTTAGAAATTAGAATCAGATAACAATTATCAATTAAAAATATACAGTAGACTCCCCAATAACACTGTTGATAATTCTGTGTTATATGAATTCCATGCTGTACGAGTCACTTAGATTTTACAAATACGTGTGCTGGGCTGTGAACGGCTTACGTACAGTAGAACCTCGATTATCCGGACTAATTGGGGATGAAGGTAGTCCGGATAAGGAAAAATCCGGATAATCGAAACAAATACTTTAATTTGTCTTTTAATGATAATACAACACGTTTTCTTTTCGATGACATATCGGTAACATTAAAAGTAAATACTGTATTTAAATCGTGATCAAATTTTCAAGAAACAAACGTTCGTATCGAATTTGGACTACTACTGATCAACGCTAACAAACTACCTATTGTTTAAAAGGCCCTCTGGTGGCGCAATAAGACGGATTTTATAAAATAAAAAGCAGTTTAAACTACATTTTTATGAATAAAAATTTGACAAACTATTTATCGTTTTATGACGAGTAAAATTTTTTCGTCGCGTTCACGGCTTTTAAGTAATGCATTAACCTTCGAAGCGCGAGGCCCTTCGGACCGCGAGGCATAGGCGGTGGCCCACGTCGTCCATGCCTTACGCCGCCCTTGGTCATAGAAACGATGTGATTTGAATATAAATTATTTATAAATACGTATGTCAAGTTTTTTATTACTACGTAAAATATATTTAAGAGTTTACGGCCACTGTGCCGGGTGAGACGTTGTAGAAACAAAAAAAGTTATGCACTCCATCACGTACATAAACAGTATCGTAATTCGCCAAGTACAAATCAGCAAATTCGTAAAATGTTTGTTTATTTTGAACAATCCGGATAATCGAAAATCCGGATAACAGAGGTCCGGATAATGGAGGTTCTACTGTATTTGTAAAATCTAAGTGACTCGTACAACATGGAATTCATATAACATGGAATTATCAACAGTGTTATAGTGGGGTCTACTGTAATATTTTATTATTTAACTATAAATATTAACTTATAACAATTTTAGAATTAAACTGATGATTGATTTAGTTTACTTTGAGTCTATATATAAATGTATTTATTTATGTATGTATGTAGGTATGTATATATATTATAATTATATTTATATATAATTTTAAACAGTTGATTAAGCATTTTATTAAATCAATTTCTTCTGTTCTAAAACAAATTCTTGAAATAATTTCTAACAAAAGATAATTGTAATAAAATTATTTCAATTAAAGTATACATTTTTATTTTCTATACTTACACACAAAGCCAGAAAATAATGATTTCTTTCCTGTATAAATAAATACCAAATAATTTATCCCAAATGAGGTCAAAAATCTACTAAAATAATTTTAAATATTGAGAAAATTTTTAATACATTTCAAAAAGTAAAACTGTAAATATAATTTGGCACGATGAAAACAAAAATACCAATAACTTCAATGGCTAATAACGGACTGATATAGACAGTTTTAAAAATCAGTAATTTCAACATATGAATAAAACAAATAAGCTATCTAATGTTTTTATTTTTTACTGAAAACTAGAACAACAAAAGTCAAATGATAGTAATGAGCTACTGTTTTAAAATTTTGGCATTATATTAAATATTTTAGAAAAGAACTCAAAGTTTATAACTTTTAAAAATATATATTAATCAAAAGATAGTAAAGAAAATAGACAAAATTAGACAATACATACCTTTGCATGTACAAACTATGTTGATAAAGTCTGCGTCTTTGCATTTCTTGCATACGCTGCTGAGCCTACAAAAACAAACAATTAACAAAAATCATTAAGTATTTTAATAAGATTAAACATAAAATATCATTATTTTAAAAATTAAATAAATTTTGAATTATAACAAATTGCAGTTTCTTCAAATATAAATAATATAATAAGTGAGTTTTAAAAAGTTTATTTTCTTAAAACATTTCTTTCCCCACACCTTCAGAAGTAAATTTTTAATAAAATACAGAACTATAGTCATTTGTATATACATATGCAATATTAATTGAATTTTAATAACTTTGAGAAATGATATTTCAGACACTTCCTGCTTTTGATTCATATAATATACATGTAAAATGGCTATAAGTTCATAATAGATCCTAATATGTAATGTTTATAAAATATATTTTAAAATAAAATCAAAGCTGTGGAATTTGCTAATTATGTTTCAATTTCTGAGACTTACCTTCTTCTTGTAACAGAAATTACACTTTAGATATATTATTTATTACTATAATTACATTATAAACAGTTGAAATAAATGCCATACTCCTAATTTGAAGTTCTGTCCTATTATTGTACATTGGTCATTTAATCATTTTTAATCATGTTTAATTGTTTTTTGAAAATACTTGAAAAGACTAAACATTTTTGGGCTTAATCTTAAGTACAAAATAAGGAAAGGCAGAGAGTAGCTATGGAAACAAAACATGTAGTGTAACAATAAAAAATATAGTAAAAGCTTAGCAATTTCATATTCTATATTGGCAAGACATCTTTAATTTTGTCACATACATCAATTATAATTACTTTCTTGATTTTATATTTCTCAATGTTTGATCATTAATTCTGTGATTGAATTTGATCAAGTTTATCACTTTGAAATGCTATAGTAATTTGATTCTTTTCATAGATGTTTCTGTTATATTTGTTGAGATTAGTTCACCAATCACCTGAATTTGGCAGATTAGTCACTAATACCAAATTTCTTTAACCATAATGATGGAACTCAAAACTAGTTATCCAGAATTTACAATGATAGTTTATCTTACATCTCACCTAATCTTCTGTTAAGGAAGTAGTAAGTAAATGGTTGAATGATACTCAAAAATTATGACTGAGTACTTCTTAATACAATGTTCAGACTTTACACTTTAATATTAATTGATAGAAAAACTACCCCCTGTCTGATTACCAATTAAAATGGCATTAATCTGGTTAAAGTAAATGTGATTTGTATGAATGCACTTTTTTTTTTGTTCTAGTGAGCAATAGAATTATTGGTGTTCCAGTTCATATAATATATGAAATGATCATTTTCTTACTAATTTAAGTTTTATCTATCTAATTGTAATAAGACTGTGTAAATACTTAAAAAGCTATTGATATCTATTTCAATTTCATACAATTTCATAGGATTGAAACAAAATGTGCAGTTATATTTGGCAATTACACCATCTTATGGTTTTTATTTGTTAATTAAAATCTGCAATTTTGAATAGCACATAATTTTTATAAGGTTTATGACTAGATTAATCTAAAAGGTATATAGTGACCATTTCAAAGGAAAAGTTAATGTAAATTAGATATCCTAATGACAACACTACACCTATCTTTGTACATATTTATTGGAAATAATCTTTTAATTATTCAAAACATATTTAATAAATGAGAACAAATATAAATACAATAAAACTTCATTAATCCAAACTAACTGGATCCCAAACCTGTTTAGATTCATGAGTGTTCTGAATTATTCAAAATTATTTTCCCCGATTTATTGCTTATGTTAATATTTTCTGTATAATTTAAATAGTAATAGCAATTCATTAAGTTACAATTAGAAATATCAAAAAAAATGGCTGAAAAATAGAATTGAATCTCATTATAAAACCAACTATCCCCACCTAAATATTCCTTCCCTACCCTTGTTGACAATTTTCTGTTTTTTGATAGTGGCGAGAAGTCATTGTCATTGCAGAAACATTGCATTGATTTTAAAGATAAACTATAAGAATTCATCACTTTTCAGTTTGATTAAAATTTTTAAATATAATAATTTAGTATCATACTAGATAAATACTCTTAAAATATATATCAAACTTTTAATTAAATTATAATAATAAAAAATTATTATTAAAGATATTTAAACTTTTATAATTTCAGAAGTGAAAAATATTTTTCATTGATACAATAGTTTCTCAAAAATAATTAAGTATCTTTCAATGTATTTCTTAAATAATTTATAGATTTAAAATATTTTTATTTATATCTTAGAACAATCTGAAATATTTTTCAAACATGATACGACATATTTTTTATAATAAATTAAAATATGATGGAATACTATAGAAACAAATTCATACTATAAATATGAAATAGTAAGCATTAAACATAATGATGCCAAAAATGGTATCAAGTGCATATGCTTAATAATTATTAACATTTTTTATCAGCAATTTACTTTCTATGTAACAAATAGATTATAAAAAGAACTTACATGCCAGAGTCGCTGATGTGCTGGATTAAGACGGGGAACACTTGGAGGGTAATTTGGATGTGAAGCGGAAACATCTTGTGCTGTAGACGTAGTAACAGTATTATAAAAATGATAATATGGTGGAGGTTGAACAGGGGTAGCAGCAGGTGCAGAATGAATGCCACCAATGTATGTTAAATGTGGGCTGGGTGCACCTAATAAATAAATAATTTTATTAATAACAATAATAATAATAATAATAATAAACATTTATTAAATAAAAACATATACCCATGAAAACTTCAAAATCAAAACAAGAGTACTAAAAAAATTTAGGAAGGTATAAATCTGACAATATAAATTCCACTGCTTTAATTGAAAAGAAAAAAACATTGATAATTTGCAAAATGGAATACTATATTAAAAAATACTACTTTTTGTATGTAATGTATTTCAAAAGTTCGTAAATAGTGTTAGTTTTTCATAAAAGTACAGTGGTACCTTGATTTTCATCAATAATCCATCCAAAAACAATTGGCGAAATTTGAAACCGACAAAAACTGAGGCAATTATTTCCACATGAATCATCGTAATTCCAATTAATTCATTCCAGACATTCCAAAATATATACTGAAAACATATTCAAATTTTTCGCAGAAAAAAATTGACGAAAACCAAAGTCAATAAAAACCAAGGTATTACTGTATTTTCTTAAAATTATCTTTCTTTCTTTTGTTATGAAATTATCAATTTCATGAATACTGTCCATAGACCAGTAGAATCTAAATACACACAACTGTCATTTGTTAGTGTAAAAAATCTCAATGAAATGATTAAACTTATTTTTATTAAATTTCATTTAAGTTATGTTGAATGAATAAGCTATTGGGTTGTTTGGAAAGTAATTTCATTTTTTTTATTACTAGAGGAATTAGATGTATTTTTACTAGCCAATTTCATTTTAAACCACATTTTCATTATATATTTTGGCAGCTGACATTTAAAGGCTTATTTGTAAAAAATTTTGTCTGATTATGTACAATTTTTTTTTTCGGTGTCCCATCAAATATGGAAAATCTAAAGCATCATTTTTGGCATATTTTGCTTTTTTATTATCAAAAAATCAAAATGCTGTTCAAGCAAGAAAAAAATTGTGGTACATGTATGGAGATGATGTGTTGAGAGAAAGACAGTGCCAAAACTGGTTACAATTGATTCAAAAGTGTACTGCCATCAAGTAAACAAATTGAGTAATATCATCAAACAGAAAAGGCTAGAATTGATCAACAAAACAGGTGTAGTGTTTTACCACGATAATGCCAAATTTCACACAAGTTTGGTAACTCATCAGAAACTGTTACAGCTTAGATGGGATGTGCTATCACACCAACCATATTCGCCAGATCAGGCACCTTCAGATAATTACTTGTTCCGGTCTTTACAAAATTTTTTAAACTTTAAGACATTTACTTGAAATGACAATGTCAAAAATCACTTGAATCAGTTTTTTGTAAGCAAACATCAAAACTTTTATAAATGTGGAATCATGCTACTAGCAGAAACAATGGCAACAGGTATTAAACCAAAATGGTCAATATATAATTCAATAAAATATTTGTTTATTATAAAAATATTGTGTTTTTTTCCATGGAAAAAATGAAATTACTTTCTGAACAACCCAATATCAGTAGGAATCTAAAATTGTTAGAAAGTTTGTTGGAAAGCTTTATCTACTATTGTTTAATAGTGACAAAGTTTTCTGACAGGAAAGAAGAAATTAGTAAATAATTTATGTAGTTGAAATTATCTTATAATAAATCATTTTAAATAAAATGTTAATTATTTAAAATAAATTTACAAGTATCCCCTACTTAATATTTTTTTGGTAAAACATCTTTTAGATTCATATAGATGTTCTATGAAGTTTGGATATCTTTTACAATATTTTCTGATTAATGCTTATATTTTAAAAAAATCCGTATTTACATTCTTATACTGTAGTTCAATATAACATCTTTAACATAACAACATGCAAGAAGAGTATGCAATACAATTGCTAACAAAGTTAGAACCACATGCAGATATTTCAAAAAGTGTCACAAATGTCAAAAAATGAAATATACATCTCCAATATAATTGCCACTGGTAGAGGCATGATAACATATACAAATATCTCCTATGGTAGAAAGCCTAAATACTTTTGTGATGTCAGTAACAGTTGCAATCAAATCAGTTGAAAATTTTGTCAGAGACATTGTTAACATGTGCTGAAAATTATTCCTTGTTTTTATTGTAAATTTTTTTCTTCAGTTTTTAAAACAAATCTCTTTATTGTTAAATATTGCTTGTTGTGCAGTATCATAAACATAATGTTTGTAGTATGGCATACTGATTGTACTGTACGTATTATTGCATACAAAGCAAGCATACATTAACTATAATGTACACTACTTGATAATCAGAAAACAATGTCAGAAACATTGCATATTCTATGACAATACATATATGGCATTATATTGTGCTCTAGTTCTATTTTTGGAAATTAGTTGGGAGTTTTATGTTGATATTGTAAGACATTCTAATTTTTAAAACAATAGAAAATAGGCTCTTGGTCAACATTTTCCTGCAGAATATCTGATTTTTCAAAGACAGATTAATGACAATAAGCAGGGAATGTCTGTGTATTCTTCTTAAATAAAGACACTATAAAAGGATATTCTGAAAAAAGGAAAATAAGACTAAGAGCACTTTTCATTAACAGAAACAGCAAAAGAAACTAGAAGACAAAGAAAAAATAACTAAAAATAATGGAAGCACAAATATTGTTCTGTTCCAATTTCATTATTTTTTAAATTGCTTGTTTCTGCATATTATATTAATTGTACATGAAAAAGTCTTTAATAAAAAGGCAAAAGTGCTTGTTCATTTAAATTTATTTCATGAATTTTTTCCTATTATTTATTTGCAATATATTAATTATACAATATTAAACATTAGTAATTTAATAAAAAAGTATCATTAAATCCAACTTCATGAATAATTAAGAGATTCTGAACAAAAAATTTCTATAAACTTAATATAATTCCCAATTAACATTGTTTATATATATATATATATCTAAAAATGGACATGTATGTCCCTATATTTCACTTTTCCGCCAAAACTACACATCGCATGTGAATGGTGTTTGTATGTAGTAGTAGCCCCAAGTCTCCATTTGTGCACCAGGGGGTTGCGTCTCGATAGCTATAAGGGTGCGGGAGATATGGGCTTGAAAGTGGTTGAAAGTGGCTTTCTATTTTGAATGTTTTGTTCGAATATTGGCTCGATTATAGAACGATCGTAAACGTTCCAGAAACGTTGAAAATAGTTTGATTGGACGTGAACAGGAGACGTTCAGAAATAGAATCAAGACCAGGAAGTGTTAATATAAAGCGGCATGCAAGATTTACAGGTGGTTTTTTGCGCTTTTGCGGGAAATCGAACATATTTTTATGCTCATGTAAAAATTCTCTGGAAACGTCTGGAAACAGGAGACTTAATTCTTGCATTTTATGAAAACGGGTAAGATTGGCTATAATGTAATTATCTTAATCTTCACTATCGTTACTTTTTGCCCACAAATAAAAACCCAGCGAAGCGGGTCCTTGCAGCTAGATTCTACATTACTTAGAAAAACAGTCTTTTATATATAAAAAAAACTATACTACATACAAATGTACGAACAAATAAAAACCCAGCAAAGCGGGTCCTTGCAGCTAGTATAAAATATTTTCTATCATAGATCAAAAAGTTTATATTTCAGTATCCTTAAATAGGAAAAACAGTTAATTAATAGCAACATATTTTTCCTTTATTATATTCTTATATTTTTCCTTTTTATAAAATTAAACAGTACTTATTTATTAAAATAAAAATGTAATTTTTAGTTTTATTATTTACATATTTTTAGATGATAAATAGGAAATTAAATGCTATAAGTTACAGAATTTGTTTGATTTATTAACAAAATAAATTATTGATATAAGATTTTACTAACTTGGGTAAGCATGAGGACAAGGAGTAGCAGTTACTGGATGAGAGTGCGATACACATCCTCCATAAGGTCGACAAGGATCAGAAGCTGGAGTAGAACCCTAGTATAAAAATTTTTAAATTATAAATAATTTTGAGGTACTTAATAAATAATTTAATACAAATACATAAATTTTAAATAGTATTTTTAATAAAATATAAAATCTTAAATTAAATATGCATTTAAGTAAAATACTGTTAAATAAATACTTCCCAAAATAAACGATTCATAAAAAATAACTTTTTTAATAAATGCTAGAATAAGTAAACACAAAACATCTTGAATAAAACATATTGCTTAATTAGTAATAAATACAGAATTGGTTAAATAGTATATTCTAGATCAGTGTAGTCCAACCTTTCAAAATTGAAAGGTAATTAATTTTTACACAAAGTATTGTGGCATTTAAGTTTTCATATTGTAAACAGAAATAAAATTTGGCTTACATACCATTCAAAATTCTTATTGTAGTTATAACTAAAAAGGTATAATAAAAGGTATAATATAAGGTATAATAAAAATATATTTTTGACAATTACATTGATCAATGATATATCAAACACTGTGTTTTGATACAAATTTTTCAATTTCAATAATTAAGCCTATTCATAACTCATTGTATCGTGACTAACTTTAAAATGACATTTATAAAGAAATAAAGGTATATTTGAAATAAAACCTGAAAAACCTGTTATCTGCAAAATGTTACTTAAGTAGATCTCAGGTCTACACTGTTCTAGATGATTTAAATAATAATTTAAGTAAATTATTGTTATCATTGTCTTTCCCTAAATCATTTAAATATAAATAATTTCATTTAATAATTCAAAACTTAAAAAAAGTTTAAAACTATTAATTGTATTATTTATTAATAAAATATATAACTTTACCAAATTTCTTAAACAGGAATCTGACATTCCAGTACAAGTTATTGGTTGCTGGCTACCATGAAAACGACAACTTGTAAGTTGAACTAAAGGTACTGGATGAGGAGCATAACCAGAATGAGAATGAAAATGGGTATGGGAAGAACGGCCGCTAAAATTATTAAAACTGCTACTGGGATCACTATAAAAAAAATATATAATAATATCTGTAGTAATTATTAATTTTTTATCATAAAGTTACTACAGTAGAACCTCGATTATCCGGACCTCTATTATCCGGATTTTCGATTATCCGGATTGTTCAAAATAAACAAAAATTTTACGAATTTGCTGATTTGCACTTGGTGAATTATGATACTGTTTTTGTACATGATGGAATGCATAATATTTTTTGTTTCAACAACGTCTCACCCAGCACAGTGGCCATAAACTCTTAAATATATTTTGCGTCGTAATGAAAATATAACTTGACATACGTATTTATAAAAAATTTTATTTTCAAATTACATCATTTCTATGACCAAGGGCGGCGTAAGGCATGGGCAATGTGGGCCATCGCCTATGCCTCATGGTCTGAAGGGCCCCGCGTTTCGATGGTTTATGCATTACTTAAAAGCTGCAAACACAACAAAAAAATTTTACTTGTCATAAAACAATAAATATTAATAGTTCGTCAAATTTTTATTCATAAAAATGCAGTTTCAACTGCTTTTTATTTTATAAAATCTGTCTTCTTGTGCCACCAGAGGGCCTTTTAAACAATAGGTAGTCTGTTAGCGTTGGTTAGTAGTAGTCCAAATTAAATACAAACGTTTGTTTCTTGAAAATTTGATCATGATTTAAATACAGTATTTACTTTTAATATTGCCAATATGTCATCGAAAAGAAAACGTGTTGTATTATCATTAAAAGACAAATTAAAGTATTTGTTTCGATTATCCGAATTTTTTCTTATCCGGTCTACCTTCATCCCCAATTAGTCCGAATAATCAAGGTTCTACTGTATTTGTAATTTAATTACTTCATGTTAAAAAAATATAAAAAATAAAAAGTTTTACTATCCTGGAAGGTTTCTGGTAAGGAATTCTAGATTTTATTTTAATTATTAAATGCTATTTAAGGATGATAATATTTAAACATGGAAAAACCTTATTATAATATATCAAGTTTCAGATTTAAATATTATCTGTGATAATAATAGAATCTTTTAAATCACAGTTGAAATATATATGCTATGTATATTTCAAAAGTGTCTTATAAATAATCTATCTGTATCTTTCCATTTAATATCACAAGAAAACTGAGCAAAAATTTAATTTATATAGTTTGTGTTCTATTTACAACTAATAATATAAATTTAAAAAAATTAAATATTGTGAAGTGCAAAATGCTTAAAGCAGGACACTGTAAAACAGAATTTCCATTTCTAAAGTTTTAAAAACCATAAATCCATATTCTTACTAAATAATTGAAACAAATAATATTGTTTTTTTCTTTGCATTGATTTTATACATTGACTATAATATGTAAATACAAGTATTTATTAAAAATAATATTCAATACTTCTCACAAACTTGATAAGAAAATAAAAATTAAATAAAAACAAATAATTTCACCTTTCACCAAACATTTAAGAAAGCCAAGTACTTAAAATATTCAAATGAAGAAAATAGAACAAAAGAATTTTAGAAAAAAATTTTTTAAATTTTAAATGTTGAAATATTTAAAATTAAAAATAGAAAAATTTTATATTAAACAAAAAACTATATAAAATTATATAAAAATTAATTGTGTATTACAAGTATAAAAAGTTATTTCTAATTATTTTTTAAATGCAATTTCAAGTATAAAATCAAGACTAATCTCCATATCCTCTTGTAGGTAAATATGCTATTATTGAAAAATCAACATAAAATAGTGAATATAATTAAACCTAAGAAGTCATGAATAATAAAATAACTTCATTTGCAGGCAAAAAAAGAACATTTGGTCTTTTTTTTTCTTTTTACCTGAAGATAAAGTTGGTTGCAATTTTAAAATTGCAGACCAATGACAACTTCATCAACAGACAGATTTTTCAAGATTAACAAAGTTATTATTATATATAAACTAGTATACTATGAAGTAGAAACAAAATTACAGAAAAGTTTGCTATTCAGTTTTAGAAAAAAAATCATTTTGACACAAAAAACATTTCTACGATAGATATACCATGATTTACAATTAGCTTAATACAGGGGTCAGATACCTTTCAGTGGTGTTGTGCCAACTGTAAGTTATAATGTTATTCCAAGTGGTGACATGATTTTACCAAGTTTATTATATATTATCAAAATTATTCCAGTCATAATGGATCTCAAAAATGTATAATTTTGAAGTTAAGTTGTTAATTGAATTATGTTCTTACATGTGAAATGCTTGCAAAACATGTACATGGTGACTCAGATTGTAAATTCATGCACTGTAATAGAAATATATAAACAAGAAATTTGTTTTTAATGTACCATGGCCTTTGCTGAACTATGACTTCCATTTAAATATGTAATTAATAATTAAAATATAATTTTTACTACATTTCTATTCAATCAGAGTGCCACTGAAAATCGTCTCGTGTGCCATGTTGCACGCATGCCATAGGTTGCCGACCTCTGATCTAAATGATTTTCAAATCAAACAAAATGAGGAGGAGATGGTATTCACTATTTAAGTATGGACCAGTATATCAGAATGGTTAATTAAACGTTAACTCTTATTTCCTGAGTACAGTAGAATGGTCCACTAANTTAAATTTAATAAAATACTAAAATAGACAAAAACTAATCTACCTAGCTGGTTCAATTTTAACCACTTCTATACTGCTGTCATCATCTTCACTCGAAAGACAATCTAACTGTAGATCAGGAGCTATTGGCCAATCCAGATTTTTCCAACTACTATTGCCTCTTTCGGTGCTAGTGCGTCTTTCAGATGGCCCTGCCATCACTGAAATACAAAGAATGTAAAATATTGTTTGATATTATAAAAATAAATAAATTTGTTTTAAAAATTTATGTAAAATTTTAACAATTATTTTTATCTGAAATTTAATAGTCATCTTTTCTAAGATTAATTTGATCTTAATCTTAGAATAGATATATTAAATTTCAAAATAATATTCTAGCTCTATATACATATACTAGCAGATAAGTCCAGCATTGCACAGGCAAAAAATTAGAACAAACATTAAGATTACTACATTGCTGTATTTCATACTTTTAACCCTTTGATTACATTATATTATATTTGATTTTTATAAGTACAAAAGTTATCTTACATAAAGGTTTATCACACCAAGTGACCAATCTAACATATTTTAAAAATTCTTTAAATAGTGTACAGTAGAGGAATAAAAAATTTTTTAAATGTGTTAGATTGGTCAATTGATTTGATAAACCTTTATATAAAATAACTTTTGTACTTATATAAACCAAATACCATAATATAACAAACATTAAAACAAAAACCATATAAAGCATTTAGTTATTTTAGCCTACCATTGTCATGTTTATCACGATACTTGGATGGTAAGAAATCATGCAATTTCATTGACCAAGTGGACTGCAATTGAAAATATAACTTAAATTTTTTAAGATGTCATATTTTTTTCTAATGTTAACTCTAAGAAACTGTATCATTCACAGCCAAGTATCAAAATGGTAATCTGCCAATGAATCAAGTTTTGTGAAAAACAGGGCAAAATATTTAAACTCGGCACCCACTTAAAACATATTTTGTGCAGGCTGGTAGCCTTGTATTATGTAATTTTCCTATTTGAATGCTACCATATCACTGGTTCGATAGAAAGAAGGGGCTGTTACAGAAGGGGTTTGAAGTAATTCAATCAAAAGTAGTTATTGACCTCCTGCAGGAAGACAGAATGGTTAACAACTACTAATTAATACTGGTCAACTATTAATATTTGAAAAGTGATCCTTGTTAGATAGGTTGTGATGGCCCCACATGTGATCAAAGTTTCTAACCTTAATGTCTGAAATACTTCATATAGCTTGTTTAAATAAAAAAAATATCTTGTGAAAATGTGAGAATTGCTTTTATATGATGATAATAGAGTTTTTATATTTTTGCAACAGAATGTATAAACTACATGAGAAGTAAGTCTTCATAAATATTGCATTTATAGAAAAATTATTAGAATTAATTTGATTTATTTGGTTACAGAAATGCAACATGTGAACAATCTGCAGAAGGGCTGTATCTCAGGAAGAGTTTTATGTAAAGTTGGCCTCTATTTAGATGTTATTAATGTAAAGAAAACCCAGAATACTCCATGTGGCCAGCCTGTTGGCCATGCGTAAACCCACCATCGACTACCAGTGTTTGGTGGTTTTATCAACTCAACTACTGGAGGGCACTTATTAGAATTAAGAGAGTACTATTTGGAAATGAAAACACCCTAGTTTTAGATGTGAAAAATTAAATACTTATAGACTTTTCGTGGGGGTAATTACTTTTGATTCATGCAGGCAAGTACTATGTGCTATCTGTTGCAGTAATAATATAGTGCTTTATTTCACGCTAAATCATTGTCTCAATAATTAAGCAAATATATATATTTTTAAAATTATATCCTTTTTTGTAAGAATTATAGTCTATTATTTTCTTAAATTTTTTGCCAATAGATGATGTTACATGTAAAGCCAGCAAATCAAATGTAGACAGAAATTAATTGATATATAGAAATCCAATTGATATTTTGGGGTGGGATATACAACATTAAGTTAGAAGCATGTAAACATAACTGCCAAGTTTCGTAACAATTGGTCGAATGGCTTAAGCATGCATAGCGAACAAACAAATATATATCCTCATTTATATGTATATACATATATAGATTAGGATAATACAAAGCTTACTTTAAATTTTTAAAATATTTTAAATCATGAGATAGTTTTATCTATGACATAAATGATTTAATTTTATAATTATATATAGTATAGGTTAAAAGTCTTTATACCAGTAATCTGAAAACAAATTTTTTGTTTTTGTTGGTATATTTGGTTATGCCAATGTGAAATGTGGGTGATCTGCCAAGGGATGCCTACTGGAAAATTTTTATGGGAAACTGACCTCTAATTAGGTATTACAAATGTAAAGATACATTTTAGGTATACAAAAACCTGAAAAATTACGTGTGGCCAGCCCATTGGCAAGGTGCAAACTTATGACCAACTGTTCAGTGTTCCAGTGTTCAGTGGTTTTATTCAATTGGCCACTGGTAAGCACTTTTTCTTTTATTCAATTCAACTTAATCAATATTACATGTTAGGTATTGGTATATATAATATATTTTTAAAAAATTTTATTTTATGCATTATATTGAAGATCTTTTTAGGTTTTTTCCATTAATCAATAGTCCAGTACATTTGCCAAAGTAATTGTTCTGNTGACCAATCTAACATATTTTAAAAATTCTTTAAATAGTGTACAGTAGAGGAATAAAAAATTTTTTAAATGTGTTAGATTGGTCAATTGATTTGATAAACCTTTATATAAAATAACTTTTGTACTTATATAAACCAAATACCATAATATAACAAACATTAAAACAAAAACCATATAAAGCATTTAGTTATTTTAGCCTACCATTGTCATGTTTATCACGATACTTGGATGGTAAGAAATCATGCAATTTCATTGACCAAGTGGACTGCAATTGAAAATATAACTTAAATTTTTTAAGATGTCATATTTTTTTCTAATGTTAACTCTAAGAAACTGTATCATTCACAGCCAAGTATCAAAATGGTAATCTGCCAATGAATCAAGTTTTGTGAAAAACAGGGCAAAATATTTAAACTCGGCACCCACTTAAAACATATTTTGTGCAGGCTGGTAGCCTTGTATTATGTAATTTTCCTATTTGAATGCTACCATATCACTGGTTCGATAGAAAGAAGGGGCTGTTACAGAAGGGGTTTGAAGTAATTCAATCAAAAGTAGTTATTGACCTCCTGCAGGAAGACAGAATGGTTAACAACTACTAATTAATACTGGTCAACTATTAATATTTGAAAAGTGATCCTTGTTAGATAGGTTGTGATGGCCCCACATGTGATCAAAGTTTCTAACCTTAATGTCTGAAATACTTCATATAGCTTGTTTAAATAAAAAAAATATCTTGTGAAAATGTGAGAATTGCTTTTATATGATGATAATAGAGTTTTTATATTTTTGCAACAGAATGTATAAACTACATGAGAAGTAAGTCTTCATAAATATTGCATTTATAGAAAAATTATTAGAATTAATTTGATTTATTTGGTTACAGAAATGCAACATGTGAACAATCTGCAGAAGGGCTGTATCTCAGGAAGAGTTTTATGTAAAGTTGGCCTCTATTTAGATGTTATTAATGTAAAGAAAACCCAGAATACTCCATGTGGCCAGCCTGTTGGCCATGCGTAAACCCACCATCGACTACCAGTGTTTGGTGGTTTTATCAACTCAACTACTGGAGGGCACTTATTAGAATTAAGAGAGTACTATTTGGAAATGAAAACACCCTAGTTTTAGATGTGAAAAATTAAATACTTATAGACTTTTCGTGGGGGTAATTACTTTTGATTCATGCAGGCAAGTACTATGTGCTATCTGTTGCAGTAATAATATAGTGCTTTATTTCACGCTAAATCATTGTCTCAATAATTAAGCAAATATATATATTTTTAAAAAATTTTATTTTATGCATTATATTGAAGATCTTTTTAGGTTTTTTCCATTAATCAATAGTCCAGTACATTTGCCAAAGTAATTGTTCTGAACTGCTGTTCATTCAAAATGAGATTTACTTGCAGCTTTTTATGCAATAAGGTAAAGAAATTATGGAAATAAAAGAAGTAGATGTTACGTAGGTAATAGTAGTTATTATCTACTAGACATAACAGCTATTGACTCAACTGTATCATTGACATCAGAGTACTGACTATTATCAACTTTAACAATTGATTAATTGAAAAACAGATGTCAGAGTAGGCTGTAACAGATTAGCAAGTCAAAATAGACTTGAAAATATGATATTTGTGTTTCTGCAAGTCCATATTTTGACTATATGTTTATTTTTTCAGTTAAAAAATTTAAATTCAGAAACAGATTACCTTTCTAACAATATACAGGATAGAAAAGAAACATAATGTAAAAAAATATAGAAAAGAAAGTCACTTAATACCCCTGCTACAGAATATAGAATGTTCCCAAAGTTAATTTGCTCATGTTAAGAACACATTTGATCAAGGGGGAAACAGATTGATTTGTTACATACACAGCCGCCATCTTGACGGAGGTCATATTGAATGCAACTCCAAAACTGTAAGTGGGAAGAGGGACATCATGTGACACATCATTTAGGATCAGAATTTCACAAGGAATTGATTGCTAAAAGATTTTATTCACCTACCTAAAATGGTTACAGAGTTATGCATGTTACATGATGTGCTCAATGTGCAGTACATTATACATTCCATAGCAGGGATGTTATGTGACTTTCTTTTCCACTTTGTTCTGTACATATACATATATATTTGAAATAATAGCAGATTTTTAGATTGCTCGTTCAGAACTTTTGGCCAACACTATAAAATCGAACAAAACACAAATACTCACACATACATACATATATATATCTAAAAACTTTTAATCTTTATTTATTGAAATGCTATTTGGTTATTACTTTTGATTTAATTCCTTTTACTTTTGTAATTGAACTAGTTTCTAATAATAAAATTAGTATATTTCTAAACATCTCAATATATCTGAAATACTAAATTAATATATGCATGCATAACAATATATATTAATATTCCTTTAAAATAATATTACAGTGGGTTCTCAAGTTACATAAAGGTTGCATTCTAATTTACATATCTTTTAAATTCCACATAATATGAACTAAGTTTTGTAACTTAAATTAATGGTATATGCTATAGTTGCGTTCTTTTGTGCTTAAATTTGATCCTATTAGTACTGTTTGTACTGTCAAAACTAGGTGCATAGACAGACACTAGGTATTTCTGGCATCAATCTTTATTTTGGAATATCTTGTTGGCCAAGACGCATTTCAGGCATAAGCCCCATTTCTGACGGCATTTCTTGTAAGGAGGTGTTAACCAGTATACATCTTTATAAAATTACTTATTTACAGTTAAAATTTCTTGGCTTTACTCTCCTATTAGTACTCTATACATACAAATTATATAATGCACCATATTAAAAAATAGTTTCTATACATATCATGTAACATGGAAAAAATGAAAACAGTCTGTACAGCCACAATTTATTAATTGGGAATTAAGAGCTGATTTGAGCAGTTGAAGAAAGAGTCATTAAATTTAATTTTAGTTCAATAGTGGTGTGTTTAAAAGTTTTCATTTGTAAATGGAAATCTCATTGTGAATTACAAATGATAGTTTTATTAAGTAAAATTTTGAGTAAGTAAAATTTTTGTGTTGACTTGTTAGTGGTCATGGAAATCTTTTCTGAAATTGTTACATCAAGAAAACAGTTGAAAAATTTAACTGTTCTTTGAAGCATTCTCATTGTAATAAATTTTCTAATGATCAATATTGCCTGAACAATATGGCATGTAGTCAGACAGTATGTAATATAACTTTTTACAGTAAGGTAGACAAACATTATTATATATGGTCAAGAGTGTAATTATAAACATAATTTAAAACAAGCATATTTTGAACAATGTATGTACTTATCTTTCTGTTGTGTTATTTTAAAAATTGTGTATTTCAAACATGCATAATTTGAGCATCCACTGTATTTCTAAAATAGCAATTTATATGTTTTATCAAGTGAGCTATTATTTTCCATAAAATTTTATACAATGCCATTTCTTTCATATTTTTTATACTTATTTATATTGAGAATATTTCATTTCTTGTGTAATATAATGCTAAACATCAAATTATTCTTTATGATAGTAGTTACAGTATGAAAAATGCTTGATAACCGAGTTACGAAACATTATTCTGTTTTAACTTTTAGTATGCCAAATAACTGTTAGTTCAAACATTTAAAAGTTAGAAATCATAAAAATGAAAGACTTATTTAGTTACTTTTATTTATTTCAAGTTTCTATGATATAAATAAAGCTAGTTTCTATGATATTTTATATCATTATAGCTAAATGAGATGACTCAATTAACTATAATAGGATATGCATGTCCTGAACTAATTTCCAATAGGATATAATCTTCATTGGGACTTAGTTTAGAACATTAAAGCTAGATATTATTGCATGTTTTAAAACTATATTTCAAACATACTTATTATTATTTTGAAAATACTATAATATCAGTACAATATGAATTACATTAAAAATTGCAATTAGAAAAAAATTCTATTTCAATTCAAATATCAATCAAGCAACATACAGTCGTCCCTTGGTATCTGCAAGGGAATTATTTCTAGGACCCCTGCAGATTTCAAATTCTTTGCCCCGTATAAAATGGCATAGTATTTATATATAACCTACATGCATTCTCCCATATACTTTAAATCAAGTCTAGATTATTTATAACACCTAATAGAATGCAAATAGTTGTTATACTGTAAATAGCTATTTAGGGAATAATGACAAAAAAGTCTGTACATGTTCAGTACAGACTCAACCATCGTAGCCTAACTACATAGCACACTTCAGCAACAACGTAACATTTTCTTTCTTTCAATACTTACAGATTACTTTCATTTAATGACCTGAAAGAGAAATACACAGAATAAAACACAGAATATGTAAAGTGTAAGCAAATTCAAGTTTGCTTTTTGAAACTTTCTGAAATTCTTTTTGAATATTTTCAATCTGCAGTTGGTTGAATCTGCAGATGCGAAACCTGTAGATACAAAGGGGTGACTGTATTATAGGAAGAAAACAGCAAGACAGTTTCAGTCTAAGTAGATTGTAGGCTAATTAAATAGCAATTTAATAAATTTAATCAAAAACATGATAAACTGTTTTATTATGTTTTCACATCACAAAATAAATGGCCAGAAATAGAAATCATAACATAATACAATTTAGCATAAAACACATTCTATTCTGAAATATAGTATTATATAGTTTTACATACTATTTTAATATATTGTGAATTACATACATTAAGGAATATATTTACAAATTTTAATATGATTAAAAACAATAATACTCCACAAACCAATACACAGGGTCAAAAGGGAAATCCAGAACTTTATTTTACTTTACATGTGCATTTTGAATAAGGTTTATGGTTGATCACGAAATATAATCCTTAATACTGATTAACTCCCTTTAGCCTACAAATTTTAATATATTTTTCTAATTATTGTTTACCTAAACCAAAATTATGATAAAATTTAGATTATGAAATTAAAAATTAAACACTGTAAAATTTTATTAATAGCATTTCAGTTAAAAATATTAAATTTTCTTGCATTAGTCTTTTAATTTTTGATGCAAACTGTTAACAAATCAGATTATCCAGAAGATTTTTATTTTGAATATTACCATGAGATTCTTTAAGTTGCTTCTTTTCTAAATAAAAACAGAGAATTTTAAATTAATTTAAAATCATAATACTCCTATTTATATAATTTTCAATTACATTAAAAATGTTTTTACTTAATGCTGAATTTTTTTCAGGAAAAACAGCAGATATCTGAATTAAAAGTTATAGAAATAATTAGAATGTCTTATCTGGCTTTTAATATCAGAAATTGCTCTTGGCTGCAAAATCTGAAAATCAAATTGATTACTTGCTCAAAAATTTGCTTTTAAACATTGTAAAAGAAAAATATATTTTTTACATATCATCTTCAGATCTTGCTTTTACTTCTAATGCTATCCTGAATAAGTTCATTGACTCCATTAATTATGTTTATATTTACATACAAAAATGCTGAAATACAGTAGAGTCCCATTAATCCGAAATAATTGGGATCGAGCCCTGTTCAGATTAGCAGATTTTTGGATTAGCTAGATAATTGAAATAATGCAGAAGCAAACAGTAAAACAGGTCTGGTTTATATAGATCCAACACCATAGTACCCACCCTTTATTTCATCTGACTTGTACTCAATAGAGGCCACAAACAGTTAATAAAAACAGATTTTTAAATTTTTAAATGGTAACTTGCCTTCATTGTTTACCTTAAAATTATTTTAAATGTAAAAAATGTTGTTTTTAATACACAGTCCAGAATTCCAATCAGTTGACTAATGTTACTATGCGAGTTAACACACTTAATTGTGAATGTTGAATGTACTCTTCTCTCTACATTATTTTAGTTTAGTCCAGTCTGCTGCTACAATAGGCACAAAATGGAAACCAGTGGCGTGTGGTGACATTTGATGATAGGGAAGCTGTGCTGGCCCTGAATAGAATCATTGAAAACATTATATGATATTTTGGTGTGTAGCATCTATGAGCTAAACCATGAGAGGTTGGTGCTCTGTAAAGCTGTGCGAATGCCTGTAATCTGGCTGCTTTACATGATTCAAATATTTTTGCCATGGAAGCTATCCCGTACTCGAAAATACAACACTTCCATTGGGAATATACATATACAAATTTATATCTGAATATACAATGGCAATTTTATCATTGTTTTTCACATGTAGTATAGAAATTTGTAATAAAATACACAATACACTTATAATAAAATATTAATTTTAATTAACTTAAAGTACGTTAATTAAAATATGAAAATAATCGCACAATATGTATTTATATTTTGTAAAATACAAGAGAAGCGGCATTTCCACAGCTTCCATAGACAGCACACCATTGATGGAAACACACAATGTGTATGTTGAAAGATAAGCTGGATGTTTTGAAAAGGCTGGAGAAGGGTGAAAATGCGACAAAATTGGCAGTAACCTTTGGAGTGGGCAAGGCCACAATAACCAGCTAGAAAAAAAACGCACAAAGATCAAGCAGTTTTGTGCTTCTACTTCAGAAAAATCAGTTGAAAATCGACAAACAGCAAGGCCTTCAATGTTTGACAAGCTTGATGAAGCCTTATTCACGTGATTCACTCAAGAAAGAAAAGGGAAACATCCCTAAGTGGACCTCTTGTTAGAGAAAATTTCCTCTCCACCAACCAAAACATGTTTGGATTAGGCGGACATTTGGATTAGTAGTGTTCAGACTAGCGGGACTGTACAGTAGTTTCAAGAAGCAAGAAAATTTATATCAAATTACTAAAATTAAATTATTCATACATATTCTAATTTATTTTTTGTTGAAATTAATTATTTTTTTAATTCATTTATTCTTATGTTTAATGTTTTTTATATCTGATATTGCAATTTGTTCTGATTTTGAATTAAGCTGATCAAAACATACTGTTTTCTGTGTTTAAGAACATTGTTATGATTTTGTTTTTTTTTTAATTAATTAAGTGTTAGGTCTTGAATTGATTTGAAGATGAAATTATTTTACCCCCAAAACATTAATCTAATGAATATTTCTTCTGGCTCTTCAAAACTATTTCAGCATTTCTCTGTATAAGTATAAACTTTCTTGTTTTATTGAACGTTATTATATATAGTCAAATGATAAAACTGAGTGAACTATTGAAAATAGAGTCTATTATGGAGTTGATGTTCTTATTTCATGAAATACAGTACTTTAGATCATTTTTGATATTTGTGACTTTACAAATTAGTATCTACCCATATATAAAATTTATTGTTAAGTATGAAAAAATTTTATTTAAGACTTATCAGTAGTAAATATGAAATTTTATATGATAAGTTTACCAATCTTATACATTAGTTCTAACTTTAAGAATCAGTAAATCTTTCTTAGTCAAACATCTGTTCATTGACTTATCTAGCTTGAATAACTTAATTATTGTGGCATAATTCCTTGGGTCATTAATTTTAAAAGACTTCTCATTATAATATATTAAAACATACAATATAATTTATAATAATAACAATATAACTTAATTAACATCAACATTAAATTAGCCTATTATTTTGGGATTCCAACAAATGTTTTGTTGTAGTTTCTTTGTAACAAATATTATTATATTGATATAAGAATCAGGATTTAGGGGTCCATTATTTTTAAAGAAATTTGCGGTAAAAAGAACGTTTTATTTTTGAATAAAAAAATATTTTATTTCAGAGAGAAAATTTTAACAAAGAAAAGATGTAGCTTCTGTCATTTTTGAAAGAAGGGAAGTTGAACTTCCTTTAGACAGCTAAATCAGAAGCAGACGCTCAGAGCCACCCGACAGAGCCAGACAACCATCTTTATAAATAGGGCTTTTTCCCACCATTCAGATCAGTTCAACAAATTATGAACATGCTATAGGAGATAGTCTATCAAGAAGGGAAGATTACCATAGAGTATAGAGGACAGCCACCTAAGAAGTCAGCTATATTTTAATAGTGCATACTCAAATGAAATGATTTCAAACTCCTCCCATAATCCGAACGGTAAGATAACTGAAGACAATAACAAGCTTCATATTGTGAAGGTACTATAATCTGTTAGATTGATGTAAACTCTCTCTCATGCATACAGGTTGATTTAGATTAAGTTAGATAGTTGATTTCTCACTACAAGAAAGGTTCAGAATATATCATTTGTAATCCCATTAATTGTATTATTATTTTGTTTGATTAATTAAATTTTATTGTTACTTGTTTATAATATGACCTCATCCATGACTTGAATATGCGCAACCAGTCTCTCAACTACGTCACGATCCTCTCACACAGAATTCCTCGCGAATAAGTAGCATGTGATAGTCTGCGAACTAGACTATCTGGTGTCGGGAATCCTGATGTAGGAGATGAACGATTCGAAATCATCTCTCTCCGCATTATTTAATTAAATTCATAAAAAGCCCTCCGAAGAAAAAGTGAACCAATCCCACAATTGTGTGTCAGTAAGCGACATAGAGTTAGAGTTAAATAAATTCTATGCCCTTGGTTTCTCACATTGATAAATGAGAAAGTTCTAATAAATGTGTATTGAATAAAGTTAATAATTTTTCTCTCTTAAAGATAAATTGCTAGTTTTATTGCATAGAAAGTATTTCAAGACTTGCTTCAATAATATTTTTAAAAGTGATTATTTCTACATCTAATAACAGCTGAAATGTATAGTTAGAACATATTTTTGTACTTTTTATTTTATTTTTCTGATGTATCTAACAGCTAAAATATTTAAAATTATGGATGTTAAAATTTGCTTAAATATTTTTGCACCCTCTTGAATGACAAATTTTTAATTTCAGTATTTGATACATTCCAATAGAGTCAATGAAAAAATTCATATTTTAATTCTTAACTCAAATAAATACTAAGTCTGTGAAAAAATATAATTTTTATACTTTTTAAATTAATTTTCTTATCATTTGGAATTACTACTATTGAATAATACTTTAATTAAATGAGAAACTGATTAATCAGAAAACATTCTGTATAATTTTCTCGCTGGTTTGTTAGGTTTAGCAGTGTTATTTTGGTTTAATCAAAAATATTGTTCAAATACAATTACATCATAGAGACAATCATGTAATAAAATTATCATTATCCACTCTCCACTTTTAAGAGCTGTTGGCCTATTCTTATTTATTTATTTCTTATTTAAAAAAAAATTAATTTAATTTATATGTAGATTCTATTCTTTAAAAAATAAAAAACAAAGTAAATTTTACATTATTCATTATGTTTTAAAATGTACTATCTACCATCTGCATGCAATGAGCTGACCTTCCGAGTTCTCCTTTAAGCTGTATGATGGCACTATAGTACTGTATTTAGAAGGTTTAGCTTTTTATAGAAGAAATGAAATTTTCTAAATTGAGGAAGTTATTACATTCAACATCATGGTTCTGACTTATTTCTAACAATTTTTTTAACAGTTAACTAGAATTATCTTGTTCAACAGAAAAATTACATCTTTAAATGTTACTAAGTGACCAATTTTCAATTTCTTGAAATCAAAAATTAAGCATGAAAAATAAGTATAAAACAAATAAAACTTCCAACCAACCTATAAAAAGTGGAGTGTTCTAAATATTCCAACATCTTCAGAAAGCAAAAAAGAGAGACTAGAACTATGGGTCCAGCTCATTGTACACAAACAATATATAAAAGTATTAGAAATATATACAGTATTTTTGTTTAATATTTTTTTAGATTTTACAGTTTAGATATTTAATACTTCCGGTGAATCAGATTCTTAAACAATAATGTTTTGAAATTTTGTCATAAATTTGTTTAATAATATTTTTTCTAATTATTTATGGTAAAAGTACTTATATATTAAATTTTTCTCTTACAATGTATTCTTTCTCAGTAAAACTAATAATAATAATTTTTTTGACTTAGTTAATAACGGCAATAAAATACAAGATCATAACAAATATTTTATTCAAACTACAATGACAATAAGCTGAGCTTATTGAAAATACTTGTTATTAAAATTTGTTCAAATTTACTAATTGCTTAATTTAAATTTAACTGTGTTGATATCTCAAGATAGTGAAATTTTTATTGTATTTTATAAAGTGTAATTTTATATTTTATAAAAATACAAAGTCATCTAAAATATATATTTCTATTCATAAATTTGATAAAAATATTTTTATAAAAACAACACACACTGATTAACTAATAGACTGTTTGGAAATCTGATGAATTTAATTATTTTAATAATGTTGGTTAATAAAATGCCATACCTGAATTCACATCCTTATGGAATGTTGATCTGCAAGCATCAGTAGATCCTCTTGCTTGAGTATGATTTTCTAAAGTGGAATTTTTATTTCTGAGACTGTAATTATTATTTCTCATTTGCCTTCTTGGAGCTCTAAGACTTATAATGTCTATATCGCTGTCACTTTCTGAAGATGTTTCCATAATAAGATCAAGAGTCTGAGTAGATGATCCTGCTCTTATTTTATCCCCTTGTCCACAAGGATTATTTCCAATTCTACTACCACTACTACTATTACCATTAATAATTCTTCCAGAATTTCTCAAGTGATCATCATTTTTGTTATCTTGTCTGTTCCTATCCAACACAGATGAGGTTTGATCTGGAAAATTTCCAGTTAATTGTATACACTTCCTTTCTCCTGAAATTTTTGTATCTCTGTTCTGAGATACTTTTCTTGGTTTACCTTGACGTTCCTCTCCTTCACTTTCACTTAAAACTCTCTTTCTCTGTCTTGAATCAATTGAATCCATACTGTCTGGATTCACAAGTAATTCTGCACTTGTGCACCAAGCACTAGTTTCACTTCCATCACTTAATTCTTCATGAATATCTGTGTCTTGAGTTTGGAGTCTGTGAAAAGGTGAACTACTCAAAACACCAGGATTGCCATATCCAAGCATCATAGAAAATTCTTGGCCAGAATTGGCAGTGTTATCCTGATCAGATCCCCAAGAAGCAGGTGTTGAATGACATGGATGTTGGGCAGCTAACCTCTCCATAGAAACCATATTTAAATCAGTGTCTCCGCCAGGAGAAAAAAGAGGTGAGGAACACTCCATCACATCTGCACAGATATTGAAACAGAAATTATAACTAAAATAGAAAAACTTTGTCAAATTTAAAATTATTTCTGGGAAATATAACTTATTTGTATATTTAGAAAAATATTTAATATTTTGAAAAAGTATTTTAAAGTATTTCTTGAAAAATATTAACCAGTCTGTTTTTTAAAAAAATTTAATTTTAAAATGTAAATCTGATAAAAATTTAAACATTCTATACATCAGGGGTGGCCAACAAGTCAATCATGGTCAATCGCAAAGCCAATTTTGGTTGCTCACTCATGATGTCTTGATTTAATGTGTTATGCTTGTAACCAAACGCAATGTGCAATGCAACTGTAGTGATATCAGTCCTCCCTCAGATGCAGTTTTGTTGGTCCATGTGCAATCCATTTGCATACAGTTGTAAAAGGGGAATAAGAAATGTAGACAAAGGGTCATAAAATTGAAAAAAAGAAAAGCAGGAAGAGGGACAGAGAGAGTAGGTCGAGACATGGTAGAGAGAGGAAGGGTGAAGTGGTGGTCTCCAAAAGTGACAATGTTGAGTTTCAATTTCTTCTATTTAAAATGTAAATACTTTTTCTTCATGTTTTAAATTGTGGCTTTTCTTACCTATCTAAACATAGTATGTATTTTACACCTCCCCTCACCACTTAGACTATGCCTATGACAACAAGTTGATCATGACATATTTTTAAGATAAAAAGTAGATCTTATGTACTGTACACAAAAGTTGGCCACCCCTGCTATAGATAAATAAAATTATCCATTTTAACTATTATGCTGAAAAAAGGAAAAAGGAGAAATAATTTCTACAATGTATTTTATTTTAGCTTTAATTTTAAAAAATTCTATTTTAACATCAAAAATCTTAAGTTTTCATGCAGCTAAAAATTTAATTTAAACATTTTAGATCTTAATATAATGATTCACTGCCAGAGTTATATTAAATTTAAGACTTAAAATATATTGAAAAAACTGTTTTGCATGAATAAATAATTCAATTATTCAAATAAAATTATTCATTGTCTTCATTTGTACCTACTATTAATCACACTATTAATGTGTTATTAATAGTGTGATTTCCAAAGAATCTTTAAATTTAAAAAAATGAAATAATTAACTCCTTTAAGTAAAAATTTATGTCAATTTTTATCTTTTATACTGTTAAATAACTCCATTTTGATTTTCTTGTTTGTCAAAATCAAATCATCAATGTAATTCTGATCTATTATTGCTAAATTATTTCTACTATATTACAAATAAAAATAAAATTATACATTTCATCAGTTTGTTGACTAATAATTTATTTAACAATCACTAATATCCATAGAAGATATTTTTGATCACTGTACTCAAAATTTTATAAATTTGAACAAATGTAAACTGAAATAATATAAGTTGTTTAAATCTAATCTAGTAAATAACTGAAGAAAAAATAATTCAAACAGTCAAATTATTTTTGTTAAAATTAATTAATATACAAGATGTAAATCCTTTATCCATTGAGCTTTGTACCAGAAATATTTCAGATTTTGGTATATTTGTATAGTTTTTCTGCTGATCTCCCTCATATAAATAACCTTGTTCTGTCTTGAACAATGTTATTAATACTAATATTACTAGTAGCTTTGATGTCCTGGTTTGAAATGTTTGCCTGTACAGTGGAACTCCGGTTAACGAACTTAATCCGTTCCGCGACTCCATTCGTTAACTGAATTGTTCGTTAACCGAAGCAATTTTTCCCATAGAAATTAATGCAAATGCAATTAATTCGTTCTAGTCTCCGAAATTTTTGTCATTTTATTTGAAATATACAGTAATTTTCTTTGATGAAAATGTAGGAAAACGTAGTATCTATCATTACAGCAACAAACATGTAAACTTTGTTTAATAATACCTTCGTTTGTTGTAGTTGGTGGCAGAAAAGTGAAGATATACGAACCTTAATGATTAGAAGGGGAATCCCCTCCAAAAAAATAACGGGTAGCACTTCATCGGAAGATTCTTCGAGTCGAAGTCTCTTTCGGTAAAAACCCACCAGTGGCTAAGTGGTCTTCGTACCTTGAACACGGGGAGTTCGTTCGTGGGTTCGCACCTTGCTGAGACGGGCTGGCTACGTGGAGTTTTCCGGGATTTATCCACGTCTGTAACGCCTAAATAGGGGCCAGTTTCCCTTAAAAACACCTCCCAGAAGGCATTTCACCCTAGTCAGATCGCCCAAGTGTTGCGTTGCCATAACTTAACAATGAAACAAACTCTTTCCGTAAGGAACAAGAAATTGATCTAAAGTTGATTGTCTTACTCTTTTAATCAAAATTTTTCTCAAATGCGATAGCGCATTGTCGTTTTCTATTGCCACTATGACTTTTTTCTTTCTTTGATACCATATTGATTAAATATATAAATCACAAAACTGAAAAAAAGAAGTATAGCACAAACACTCAGAAAAGCAATGCTTAACTCGCGCATGCGTAAAATTTGACACAATATACCGTTACGTTCGTTATCCGAATTTTGTTCGTTATCTGAGACAAAATTTTTGCAAAATAAAAGTTCGTTAACCGATTTGGTCATTAACCGGGGTTCCACTGTAGTTTTAGAAATGTTATCATTATTTTGGCAATTTTCTTGTTTTTTAAAAACTAAGTAAATTAGTCTGATTTGAGTTCTTTTTTTTATGTGACTTTATTTAGGAATTTTTATTAATTTTTGATAAAAAAAAATTTTCACACATATGTACTGTAGGCAAGTGAAAATATTTTTAGAAGTCTTTACATAGATATAGACATGTTAAAGTATGTTAAAAGTTGAAATCAAACTACATTCCAGAAATACAAAAATGTCACACCTTTTGTAACTTTTGTATTTCAGGAATGTGTGTGTGTGTGTATACTTACACACACACAGATACATATACACATTTTTCATGAAGTTTATCAGCCAGGCAGCCAGAAAAATTATCTAGGCAAAGTGTCCAGCAAAAAAGGTCTGAAAAGAATACTGGAATATTTCCAATGCTTTGTGGAATTCTTCATTTGTGGTGCACCATGTCAGCACTCAAAAAGATTTTGGATTATAAAGGTATTCAGTTTTTAGAATTTCAGATAAAGGATTTTTTACCTGTATATAACAATATATACAACCAATATATAAATAAAAAATGTAAAATAGAAAATAACTGAATTAAGAATTTAAGGTTATTTATTTTAAATATTTAAATTATTTCTTTAATCCAGATATAAATACAATCTTACCACAAAAAAAAAACAAAACAAAAAGTTTGGACATCTTAAACCAGTCATGCAACAGTAATAAAATTCTGCATGTGAAAGTTGTCTTTGAAGAATTTTCATCACAAATATTACAAATCAAAAAATGACATACCCAGCCTGGCAATTAATGCAAAGTGATCAATGTCAGAGGGAACTTTACAACTTACTTGCTAATATGAACATTTTTGATAAAACTGTTTTCCACATATGTATCATTGTACTGTGATATTGTAATGAACTGTTTATTTTTTCACTACCACTTCACACACAGAATTTAATTGCTATTGCACATCAGTTTTAATGTGCATTGCTTTTTTGCAACAGAGTGTATTATGTGTATCTAATACAGTAGAACCTCGAAAACTCGGCTCTCGATAACCCGGCACTCCGGATAACTCGGACACACCCTGGCAGGGCAAAAAAATCCTTAGTTAATTAATTTTCATTATAGACAGCTTTATAAAAGTATAAAAGCTCTCATAAAGTATTTTTCTGAGGTCTGTCTTATCAGGTAAATTACTGTACACAGTGTATTCATTAATTTTCATTTTCATGTAGTAAAGGCTCTATGCCTTCATAAAGGACGTACTTTTCCTTTGTTTAAGGGTATTTGGGCAGTTTATTCTCTGTTATATTCTCAAGTAAACAATACATACAAGTACAGTACAGTATTTTCTGAGGAAACACTCGTACTTATATTTTTTAACCCCATTCCCGATAACCCGGCATTTTCACAAACTCGGCCACCCTTCGGTCCACATTAGGCCGAGTTTTCGAGGTTCTACTGTATCCAAGATATTTTCAAATAATACAAGAAAAAAAAATTAATTGATTTCAATGCATAAAATTAATACATCTGATAATTTTTGTATTGTATTTTATTACAGTTTTAATTTTTTTATTCTATGCATTTATATATATTTTATTTTAATTAAATAATAAATTAATTCCTGAAAATATTTATTATTATAATGAAAATTTATGAATTTATTATTTAATTAAAAGAAAATAATATATTCACTGCCATAAAAATTACTGCACCAAGAAGAAGTTGTTGGAATCCAATAAAATTATATATGGGTGAATGTAACAGTGATGTAGTAAATGATTACAAAATAAAAGCAAAAGGATCATTTATTGCAGGAAAAACTACAAACGAAAGGAGGTTCTAGTATCCTAGTGTGCCATCTTGGGCCACCTCTAGCGTGAATACACAATGTGATATAGGCAAGCATGGAGGCATACAAGTGCTGTATGGTGTCCTGCAACATTTCAGTTCACAGTTGCCGCAAGCAATCCTATAGTTCAGCCAAACTCCTAGGCTGTCTAACTTGATGTCCCAGGTGATCCCAGACATGTTCCATTGGTGACAAATCAGGAGACCAGGAAGGCAAGGAAGGAAGTGTGGCAATGTGAAGAAGGCAGTCCTGTGATACCTTGCTATGTGTGGTTGAGCATTGTCCTGCTATGAGAGGCAACACATGTGGCTACATGATGTCACTAACACACTGCTGGGCTGAGGGTCACTACTAGAGGTGACTGTCTGTCGCATGTGATGGCACCCCAGACATCACACCGGCTACATGCACTAGCAGTGTGCCACTCCAAAGCGTAGGCAGGATTGAGAGGTTAACCATGGAGCCTCAGACACAAACACAACCATTGTCAGTGCCCAAATTGAATCTGGACTCATTGCTGTAGATGATCCAGTTCTGTTCTGTTGTGGTCCAATCCTGTTGGATAGAGTGGTGTTGGGGGCAACACCACTCTAAATGGAGGTGACAATAGATGTGTGCCAATGGCAG